AACTGATACGAACTAGTTGAAAAGACCCATCACAGTGATTGCTGGGAAAAAACATAATTGGCTTAATGCAGTTAATTGTATCTTCAGTGTATAATCTATGAAACCATCCTTGGATCCTTCTACCAGATAATGTTGTTACATTTTATTTATTATCATTAAACTAAATTGCACCAGGCTTATAATTTGTTGAGTAAGTTTGCACATTTAAGTATACAATCTATCATTTTACCTTTTGACGTATGAAAAGACAAAATATTCAATTTAAATACCACCACAGTCCAATTATAATCATTGTTTTACCTGACCCAGTGTTGGGGAAGCTACTTTTAAAATGTAGCTAGCTACAACTACTGCTACATTTCCAAAAAAGTAGTTTAGCTACATCTACAGCTACAATTAAATGTAGCTATAGCTACAATTTTAGCTACTTTCCCAAAGACGTTGGTTTTATTCCTCGCACACTAGGTAAATGTAAAATCTATTGCAACTACATTTTTATTGAACAAACACTCAAACAACAAAATGTTGGTATTGTATCTAACATTACTTGGAAAAGAACTTCTTCCTAGATTGTATTTAATTTGTTGGCATCATAAACCTAACATTACAATAACACAACCAAAATAGTTGGGTGTTCCATCATATTTACTACTTATTTTTAAATATTGCATTACTGTATTTATTAAGTAATTTTCATTAGGTTCAAAGGACATTCAACCAAACTATATTGTAAAAGCTCATTTTATTTCTTTAATAAACATTTATTTATAGATGTCTTATATCAACTATTAAAAAAATAAAACTGTAAAACGATTATTAAAAAATACTCTTTTGTATTACGGAGCCTTGCCTACTGAAAGTTTATTGCCTTTCTTTATTTTAATATTAAAAACGAAATTGCTATAACTTCTAACCATAGTTATAAGTTACTTGTTCTATGAATAACACTTTTCAATGCCAATAAATTGTACTTTGTCATTGTGCATAGGGCAAATTGTGCTTCAACAAACGTTGGTGCACAAAACAGTATTCAGCATCTTATCCTGAAATCAGCTTTTTAATTTAAACATGTTGAAAAATGTAAAGTAAAAATAACATGTAGCCAATATAGTACGCTTGTTCTTACAAGCTCTAAAAAGATATATTCCTATTAAAATTGAACTTGGTATTCGTCTTAAGGTTTAGTGTTGGTTTCCATTAAAATCCAAGTTGAAACTATCAATAAAATAAAGAAACTAAATTGATTACTAATTTCCCTGTCAATCACTTGCAAGCATTCAATAGCTTCTCTTGTCACCGGTAACGTTTAAACGTCGTCTGCATCTAGCGATTTTATTTCATCTGACAGTAATCATGAAGGATATGAGAGCCAAAAATGTGGATAACACTCAGATAATGGGCTCCATGTCCACGCAACGTGGTAATGAAACGGCTACAACTAGCTGTATGAAGCCAAGAAAGTAGTTAGGCCTATTTTTCTTAAAAATTTTTAGTTTGAAGGAGGTTGTTTCACGTAAGGTTGTGATAAAAATTACTATCTCAATCAATGTTAATGTAGTGAAAAAAGTAGCTCAAATTCTGCTACAACTACTTAAAAAATGTACAGCTAAAGTATCTACAGCTAAAGCTACAAAATCTCAAAAGTAGCTTAGCTACAGCTAAGGCTACGAAAAAACTGTACACACTACTTCCCAACACTGACTTTACTCTCCTTGTTTTCTTTCAATTATGACATTCCAGTTCAGTAGAATTGCTCAACAACAACAACAAAACAACAAATTGTCAAGACAACAGGGTTGGTACGGTCAGGGAAAACCTGGAAATGTCAGGGAATTTTGTTGGTCTGGAAAAGTCAGGGAAAAGTCAGGGAATTTTGGAAAAAATCTGGAATTTCTCTTGAAAGACTACATTTTTTACAGATATGCTACATTTTGCACAGCTAGGCCTACGTCATACTTGGTCAAAAACATCGAAGTTTGACAAAAACATTGATGTAACAAAAACATCGGGAACCTACCATCGATATAAAAAAAACATCGAACATCGACAGACATTCTATCATCACCCTCTGATTACTGGCTTTAATTGAACGCACCGAGCTCCCAGTGTTTCTACACGACCAAAAGAATATAATCCCGGTCACTGGGTTAAGAAATCCCGTTTAATCCCTTAAGATTTTTGATGTTAAATTCTGAGTGTTAAATTAGACATGTTGTGTTTAAATAGTTTTTTTAACATTGCTATTATATTTTGTTAAGGTAATTTTTTCGATTGGGGTTAGTTTTTCACTAAAATAAAGCATAGTAAATAAAAACAGACGTCATAGCCAAAACTCCTGTTTTATCCCACATCCCCTTCAAATCCCACTCATGCTCTAAAAATCCTGTTTTCGGGATAATAATCCCTCGTATGGAAACACTGCTAGTACCGGGATGCGCGGAAGGATAGGCCTACATTCATCGTTTCAATTTCAATACGATACTGAATACAATTCCTCATTGAATTTATACCAATACTGATTCAACCTTTAATAAACTAAAAAAACTGCACTTGTAGGAGTTTATAAAAAAAATTTATCCTGTTAGTTGAAACATTTAATAGTTTAGTTTGGTTCTACTTTTTGTCTCCGGTACAAGCATGGTAGTTATTTTTCCAATCACATGTTTCTTCCGATATAAGCTGATGATATCGCAAGCAAAATATCGATATATATCAGTATCAGAAGCACCGTATCGTCTATCTGCTAGTGTCAAGTCAAGGCCAAGTAGAACATAAAGTGTGAGGTTAAGTAGTTAATTGGTAGGCTACTCTTAATTTTCCAGATTCCAGATGTTTAATTCTTATTGGTTTTATGAGTAAACTATTTAGGCCTACATTTTTCTAATAATTCTTGATTCTGACTATTCGATATTGTCTTACGGTATACCTGGAAAAAGTATAATATCAGTCTGGAAAATCTGGAAAAGTCAGGGAATTTCATTGTCCAAAATCAGTACCAACCCTGGACAAGAACTTCATTCTTGTATAGAATAAATAATCCCCTGATTCTTAACTCTGGGGAATGGCCGTACTGCATACCGTACTGATTGACCATAGGTTTTGGGGTCTCTGACCAGGTAGTTTGGAACCCACTTAAGCTGTTTGTTCACTTATCTAGAAGGAGAAAAAACACTGAGGTAGGATCATGGGAGTAAAGATTAGCTATGTCCACACTTGTGCGCGCCAAGCGCATGCCTCTTAACGCATGCCTTGATGCAGATGGACGCAAGTGACGCTTGCCTCAAGGCATGCACGAAATGAGTCGGAAGGGGCTCCATTCCATAGCGCACAGCGTAGCGCAAGACAATCCACCAGCCTTGGATTTCTGTGCGTTTCAACTTGCAACTGCTTTACATTTTTGACAAGTCGTCCGTGTTGCAGTTGTTTGAAGCATATTGAATAACTAAGAAACCTCAGAATTCATAGAAGATTGTTGCTCTTATTTATGTTAGCGGGACATACGGGGTGATAAAAAAATTAAAATAAATTGAATAGATTAAGATTACATTAAGAGAATTAATAAATTAAAATAAAATTAGAAAAATTTGAGTACTATACTTGAGTACTTCTTTATCTATATTATCCGATATGGTTTCTTACGGTTTGGAACTTTTATTGACACTAAATTTGCCGCACCATCCCTCCTATCAGAATATTGACGTCTTAACCGAATTAGGAAAAGGTATCTAGAAAGTGAGGATGGTGGCGCATGAGTGTGGACAGCTAAAAGGCATGCCTCAAGGCGCATGCGATATTGTTTGCGTTGATGCATGTTGAATTGAATATTGAATTGAAAGCTGAAAGGCACATTGAAATTGAAAGCGCAGGAGTGTGGACATAGCTAATGAGGGTTAAAAAAGCAATTTAAAGTAATGTACAGTGATCCGATTTCAGGACTCAAAGACAAACTGAACACTGAAATACGAATATTTTTTTAAAAGCTGGGCTGGCTTTCAGGTCAGGCATAAGAGAATTCTACTGTATTTTGGTATTGTCATCTGGAAAATAGAGTTTTATTACACTTTTAGTGAATTTCCCATACAGAAAATAAGAAATGAGCTATTACTGTAGATCTCATAGTGAGATCTGAACCCGGGACTGATTTTTTTTTTTTTTTTTTTTTTTTAGGTCCCCAGAGGCAAAAAACACCCTTTGTTCAAAAATTCATATATAAAAATATAGGCTATATAATTAAAATGCAACAATATAAGACATTTATTTTCATATGTGTGTCTTTTATGCAAAAATGATCCGATTATGATGAAATTTGGTACAAAGGAGTTAAACTTTTATTTGAACAATTTTGCGAACCAGCATGATAAGATTATGTTTCCAATTTTTATTGTAAAAATATTAAGTTTCCTAACTTCTTTTAAAACTATTTTGTAAAGATTAAAAAAGAAATAATGTAGTATATTGAAGCATTTTTGCATGCAAAACGGTTACAAAGGAAACAACTCTAAAAAAATAAAAATTCCTTATTTTATCGTTATAGAAAATAAATAAACGGTTGTAGTTTGCCAAATCTGATAAAATATATCTTTAAACAAGCAATTTTTTTTTTTTTTCGTTTCATACTAAGCTGTCAACATTTTGTTTAAAAAACATACCTTTCCTGTAGCAGCAAACCTAAATGTATATTATCTACATTGACCTGGCCTATTGTATGACATGTATACTTAATGGCAATAAACTATTTTAACTTGAATTTGAAAAAAAAAATTGAAAAAATAGGTTACTCATTAAAATTAATGATATTTATATAGGAAAAAAATCTGACAATTTTAAGGGAATATTTTAGTGTAAATCTAGCCAGGAAATAAGAAATCCGCTAGTCTGCAGGTTTGGTGCGACGGGAGTATTTTGTATTTAATACAGTATTGTAAAAAGCAGTTGTTATCAGTTTCAAGGTCAATTATTATTAATTTTTCCCATCCTAACTTTTTTTTTGATTTACTCAGAAGCATGAGAGTCAAGCCACACAGACTGAGATGGTTGACACAGCAAACAATGTCCTGGATCTAGAAGAACTCGGCCCTGCTCTGCTTCAGATGAAACAACAATCCAAGACACCTCAACAGGTCTGTAGCACATTGACTATGGACTAACTCTGCATCTAGTTTTATCTTGTACTAATATTATAAAAGTTTGTGTGTTTGTTTGTTTGTGTGTTTGAAGTTCAATCACGCATTAACTACTGGACGGATTGGGCTGAAATTTGGCATGATGATAGCTCACATTCCAGATTAACATATAGGCATATTCTTATCTCAAAAATCCTCTGCCCCAGTGGCTCTATAGTTCCCCATGTTAACCTTATGAGTTTTCAAATTTAAAGGGAATTAAAGTATTTTGTCAGCTGTTTCAACTAAAAAAGTTGGTTCTATGATATGCAAAAGTATTAAAAAGTTATAAGATTTACCAACAGGGTGCAGCACTATTATTTTTTTCTTTGCATTTATGAAAACAGCTAATTTGAAGTAAACAGCAACAAAAAGCTGTGATACGCAATGAGAACTGTCAAAGTTGGGTTGTTTACAGTTGTTTATGTTTTTAATTTCATGAACAATTTGTGATATTTTGCGAATTTTTAATAAGTAATTTTTCTTTATCGTTTATGTGAAGTGGTAGAACATTATGGCTATGGTAGATGTGTAATACTATAGTATACCGTTAATTTAAAGAAGCAAATTTGATCAAACTGTCCGCCCCATTGAAAATGCAAAGCTTGATTATAACTGCAATAAGCATTTTATACTTATATGCCAACCCCGTACGAAGGACGGGTACTCTGCTAGTTTCAAATAATTTATGGTATTAGGATAAAGTAGTCTCAGACTAGCCAATGTAATCTTCATGGATAGACTTTCAAGGCAAAATACAGAATATTCCCGGTTTGGAATGACGACCGTGTCATAGCAGATGAAGCATTTTTACCAACATTGTAATAGGTAATGAAACGGCTGCGACCAGCTCTATGAAGCCAAGAAAGTAGGCGTAATTTTTTTGAAAATCTCAGTTTGAAAGATCAAATTAAATTAAAGGTTGTGATAAAAAACACTATCTCAATCAATGTTAATGTAGCAAGAAAAGTATCTAAAATTCTGCTACAACTACTTTAAAAATGTAGATACAGCTTATTATTACAAAAAAGTAGGGCATTTTTATTTTATTTTGAAACTATTTACAAATACTGATATTGATATAATGATGTAGTGATGTAACTTAATCATCAAACCATGACTGAAATACTTAACACACCCTTTTATGGAACATTACGGATAATTTATTTACTACTACAGTATATTTCTGATGAATCTGTTTCATCATTGTATTGGTGGTCCAAAAATAACATGGTTGTGGGGGGTTTGACTATGTTGTATTGGCGGTCTAAAAATAACTTGTGAGGGGGTCCCAAAAAATAAGTTTGCAAGGGGGGGGGCCGAAAAAATCTGTTACACCACTGCATTTATCTAATCTGGCACGGTCATCATCCAAATACCTTTTGTTTGGGGGTGGTTGTGGTGTTAGGGTATTAATCTACTCCTAGCTACTTCACCATTTTGACCTATTGTAGCACACCCAAAGACCTTGAATTCATAGATGTGTTATAGAAGATGTAAGTACATTATCTTTTGTTACAACCATATCATGGCAATGGGATGTCAAAAAAGGCTGTGTGTGTCAAAAATTATGATTGTGAAGCAAAATAGTCCAAAGACACCACTTTTGATATAATTAAGACTATATTAGGCCTCTTTAATGCATGTTATTTTCTGTCGGGCGAAAACTTAGGCCCTTTTTATGTAGGTTTTCCAACAAGCCAAATCGATTGGTTTTTTTATGCCCGAGGTGGGGGGGGGGGGGTGCCAGTGCTGCCAACTTTGTTTATTTGACCATCATCAGTCACCCAAGATGGACCCTTGTTTATTGGTTTACATTTACACCTACTTTTGTGTGAAGAAAAATAGACATGGAAGGAGGTGGGCTGTACATCTGTAGCTTAGTAATGGCAGTATTGGCAACTTTTCTGCAGGGTTGCCAATTAGACGGTGATTACCTTTGATACTAAAATTCTTATGTCAGTCCGGGGATTAGGTGATTTCGGTACTCTGGATGACAGAGTGCGGGATAGGTTGGCATTCCGCCCGATGTAAAACGCCATGGCATAAAAGGGTTCAATTTCATCCTACGTCAAAAAACGCCCTGACGGGACGCAGAAACTGGGTGGAGCGTAAGCCCTCCGCTGGCACCGACAGAATGCCGAAATGCGTCAGGGATTCCATCGTGCCTATAAGGGTCCCATTTGATCCCATTATAAAAAAAACTCCCTGAAGGAACACCCGACGGAAAACGACGTGCATAAAGCGGCCTTTTGAAAATAGTTGTAAGCACATATGAATTTTTTTACTCTGTTATTATTTTTCTGTTAAATTTTACTAGTATATACAGCCATTTTTTATTTTTATTTATGTTTAAATGTATTTAAACCTAAGAGGAAAGAAACGACTGGATCTATGGATGTTTTTATTCATTGCAAAGCACCTGTACATACCTAAGGGTATTTTTATCCATCTTGTAACCCTGTACGTTATGTGCCACTAAATATCATTCATTTGTTCAATCATTCAATTATAATTTCCGATCACAGTGGAGCCACATGACACTACGCAAAATCAAATTCAGCTCACGAAAGTGTTACTACATACTAGGTACGTTTTTTAAGTAAGGGCCGTTTTTAAATTTCTTCGTTCCAGCACTGCGATTGTCATTTTCGACATTTGCGCTGTGTATGTGCATCTATTGGTAAGACATAGCAGGAAATTCGAGAAAAATCGGCCGTGTTTACATCTGGTTTCAAGCATTCGAAATGGTGCCGCCAATTGAGACTGCCGCCGACTGTGAAGTGCGCGCTGTAATTAAATTTTTAAGAGCTTAAGGTGTGAAAGCCATTAAAAATCATCGAAAGATTAGTGAAGTGTATGGCGAGAACATTATGAGTGTCATAATTGTATGCAAGTGGATATGGGAATTGAAATACGGTACCACGAACGTTCATGATGAGTAACGCACTGGGCGGCGTCATTACTGTCCCCGTACCCATGATGACAACCAGTGCGTTGCTCATCATGAACGTTGGTGGGGCCGTCTTAAAATGTCCTTACCTACTTGCGTACCATTCCGTCACTCATAATGTTCTCGCCATACACTTCACTAATCTGTCGATGATATTCAATAGCTCACTTCACAGTCGGCGGCAGTCTCAATTGGCGGCACCATTTCGAATGCTTGAAACCGGATGTAAACACGGCCAATTTTTCTCGAATTTCCGGCTATGTCTTACCAATAGATGCACATACACAGCGCAAATGTCGAAAATGACAATCGCAGTGCTGGAACGAAGAAATTTAAAAACGGTCCTTACTTAAAAAACGTACCTAGTACTTTGGTATAGTCTATAGTATAGAATCAGGAAAAAATGTTCAAACTAAATTTATCGCATTTTAGTTAATGACTACCCGTGTGAGAAACAAATTATGTACCTAATAAATTATGGTCATATTTTCCATTTTGTTTTGTCTAAAGTAATTGAATATTAACATAGGACTCAAAAGCGCAGTAATTTATTTATTTAATTTACTCTAAAGACAGTAGACTATTGTCATTCATAAAAGAATAACTAAATCAACTGTTCAACATGTATATGCCCAGCTAAGAAGGCAAAGTCACCCTCTATTGTAAATTGTGGTTTTTTTTCAGGATTCATATTTGCCCTTAGAACCTCCCAGACCCTTAATAGCAAACATACCTGATCATTAAGCCCCACATCACTGTGCATTTGTGTAGTTCAGTTTCATTTTTTGCAAATATGTTAGGCCTATAAATTAATCTGATTACATTTGAAATCCCAAATGATATTTTGAGGTATCGAACATTAAACTTTTATTTCATAGTAGTTGTTAGTAATAATCTTGTATTGTGTTGCAGCCTAAGGAAATGATCACTCCAGCCCTGCGCACGGCTCTCACCAAACAGGGATACAAACTACTCGGTTCACACTCTGGCGTCAAGCTGTGTCGCTGGACGAAGGTAACATATCTAAAAACTATACATAGTAGATGGACAAAAGAAATACAATAATAATACAATAAGTTTTTAAACATACAAACACTTAGACAGTAAATGACATTGTTATTTTCAATCACAAGTAAAAAGTATGAGTGCTTTCCTTAAACTAAGGTCTCTATCAGGTTTGCGTTGCAACCAAGCAAGCCAGAGGATGGTTTGCATGAGGATTTCCATGATGTAGGATAAATGCTGTTGTTTATCAGTTTGCTCAAAGGTAGATTAAAAGCAGATTGTGAGTGTGATTTAACAAGTGAGATTATGGAACTTTATAAGAGACGTCTTTATAAGATTATCGAGGACTACTGTCAGTCCTGAAAGTCTTAAACATGCCGATCTGAAAGCAAAGTTTCCTAAATTCAGTCACTGTCTTGGTGGATACTGATAAATACCCAAATCTGGAAAGTTTTACAAATATTAACGGGATCTGACACATTCCCTAAACCACTAATGTATATTTTTTATGACAAATCACTTTTCTGCATACACATCTTTCATCAAGCAACAGTAATCACCAGGTATCGACCCCCTTCTTACAGAAACATAACCACAGAATGTGATTCATAGTTGGCAGGAGTGCAGTGGCGTAAAATCTCACCAAAATCTGTGATTGCGGCAAAATAAAAAAGAAAATCTTGCGGACGTGAATTGATCGCCTCCCTCGGTCATGGAAACATTCTCATTGTGTTCTGTGTTCAGGGAAAAATTTTTACTATCTCCTGCGTTCCTGTAGACATGACCATCGTCTCCCGTGGTCATTGAAACTCGTCATCGAGACAACAAGTTGTACATCCTCGGCGGTCTTGAAAATATCATCATCGTCTCCTACGGTCTTGGAAACAACATACAGTAATCTTTTTCTCGCATTTGCAAAATAATTAAGAATATCTTCTTTGGTCTTGTAGACATCATCTTCGTCTCCCGCGGTCACAAAAATTACGTAATATTTTTAAGCGATTGGGGCAAATTAATCATGAATATATTCTTCAGTCTTGAAGACATCATTTTTGTCACCCGCAGTCACAAGGACAACGTCATCTTTTCCTGCAATTGCGGCAAAATCATGAATATCTTCTCCATTCTTGTAGACATCATCGTCGTCTCCCGCAGTCACGGAAACGATGTCATCTTTTTCCAAGATTGTGGCAAAATCATGAATATCTTCTTCTGTTCTGAAGGCATCAAGTTTGTCTCACACGGTTACGGAAACAACGTCATCTATTTTCTGCGATTGCGGTGAGTAGTGATAATCGGATCTCTACGCCCCCTTGACCTCGGCGCCCTCCCTGCCCTGCGGGGGTTGTGGGGATGTTATTTACACCACTGCAGGAGTGTCAATTTTCTATTACAACAACTTTTAATACAATGACAAAACTAATTGACCCATAGGCATGGAAACCAGCTAGATTAGTTGGTCTCAGATTTGAACTACTGTAGCTTGCTCAGTTGTGACAGGAGCTCAATGGAGACCTTAACAACTTATGAACATCACTCATAGATGAAACATTTTACAGTAACAAGAATTGTATATAGTGCCATAGTTTTTACGATTAGTGATGGAAAATGTCCACAATAATCACCGAAATAACATAAACTTACCAGAAGATCTACCAAAAATTAACTTTAAGTAATGGATTAGATGAATAATTAACATCGCTTCCTCGTAGGCTATGTTGAGAGGTCGCGGGGGCTGCTACAAGCACACATTCTACGGTATAGAGTCTCACCGTTGTATGGAGGCCACACCCAGCCTGGCGTGTGCCAATAAGTGTGTGTTCTGCTGGCGTCACCACACCAACCCAGTGGGTACCGAGTGGCGTTGGAAAACAGACGATCCACACGACATTTTGGACCAGGCACTGGCAGCACACTACAACATGATCAACGAGTTTAAAGGTAACTTAGGATGGAAAATTTATAGTTTGTTTTTAAAGGTCGAACTTATTTAGTTCAAGCTTTAACTGAATAAAACTAGTCGTTCCATTCCCATGTTAAAATTGTTTCCAGAAAATTTACAGTGCTGAATTGTGCCACTGACAGAGTGTGCTAATATAAATTACTGATTTACTTAAAATATGCTAACTTTCAACCAAGCCAAATTAAAAAGATAACTCATAGCTAACTAACTACACTCAAGCTACGTCAACATCTTGAAAGACTATATACTATTTATAAAGTTTTCACTGCAAGGACTCTAATCAACAATTTTTTTTTTATTGGCAATATATTGTATTGACGCCTTTCTCAACCTTAAAGATTGTAAAATAAAGTACTTTTGTATTCTTATATAGCGTCTGTAGCACACAATGTAAATGGCTCAGTGGCCTGTTTTTTTTGTTTTTTTTTTCTATTGAAAATGGATTCAGCTGCTCCACATGTATTATGTAAAACAAAAAACTTGTGAGCTTTATGGGGCCAGTTACTTGCACCCTATCGATGTATTGCTTATTGACTAATTCAATCAGCTTGATATAATTTAATAGAACTATGAGACACCACAATGTTTGTAATTTAATGATTTGTCATAAATTTGTTTGAATATGCACTCTGCTTTCTTGATCATTTGATTTTAATAAATGGTCCTGGCCAATGAGACAGTTGGTCTTAGTCAGTAACAAAGCTACACAAGGCATCTCACTTCATTCTACGCTCATCCTTAAAATATCCTCATTTCTTGAAATATATAAGGTTACATACCTTGTCTGTGTTCAGTCAAAAGATTACCCTGAGAACGTGTTTACTACAGGAGCCCCAGGTGTTTTACCTGACAGATTGGCTGAGGGTCTAGAGGCCAAACATTGTGCCTTGTCTCTGGTAGGTGAGCCCATCATGTACCCAGAGATCAACACATTTATCAAGCTGCTGCACTCTAAACACATATCCTCCTTCCTAGTCACCAACGCTCAGTTCCCAGATGCTATACGGTAAGGAAACCATTATTGCAACTTTAAGAGATGTATTTCTAAAGCTTTTTCTAGGAACCAGAATATAATTGTGTTTCTGTTTAAGCGTTTGAAATTTGTTTTCCTTAGTTGTGTTTTGTGTTCTATATTTCTTACAATTTAGAGGAAACTACTATAGGTGGTTGAATGTGAGTAGTTTCTTTTTATTTGGAAAGTAATTTGTATACCTGTTTTATCATCAATATGGTTTGGTTGGTTGCAGTGACAACTAGTTTTAGTTCACATTCATGATTCATTGATTGGCCCAAACTACCACTGGATTGATTCTTGATTTAAATTGTCAGTAAATTCTAGTCCAAATTCTCACTGTTAATTCAAGTTGTATGGATATCATAGTCTCCCACGTGCAGGAAAATATTTGTCATTTTCCCCATTCAGGGAAACATCTTCTTCATCTTCCGTGATCTTGGTAAAATATTGAAGATCTCCAGTCTTTTAGACATTATTGTCTCCTGCAGTTACAGAATGCTTATCGTTATCATCCGCAATAGTAGGAATTTTGCAACTGCGCAATCTTTGCAGATACATTCTGGGATCGCAATAACATTGCGATATTCATAACATGGTTCAAGCTTGTGGGCTAAGCTCAGCTGGATAATTGACCTTAAAATGATTAAGTCAACTGAATAGTGTGTTCTGTATGACCTAATGTCTTGTGCGTTGTGGTAACTTGAATTATAATTGTTATGTTTCATAGCTTGAAACTTCACTGAATCTGTGTAATATTTTGAAATTATAGTTAGATTTTTGTATAATAGGGTTAATTTGATGGCAAGTGTAAAACTGGAGAGAAAAATGTTTTGTAAGCTAAGTTGCAACGTACAAAATAAACCTAAGTATATAAAAAACAGTGCTGTTCAATCTTATGGCTGAAAGCATTAGTCTCAGTAGTACAATGTGTTTTCATCATTTTTTTTAACTATTATTTTAAAGTACCAATGCTATAAAAATGTTTCCAAGCTAGATTTTTTATTAGTTTTTATGTAAATTAAGTGAATTAATTGTCCTATAACTAATAATAGTATTTTTATACCACATCAATTTTGTAGCTGCTAGCAACAAATATTTTGTACATCAAACCAGTTGACATGCTTTTCAGCCGGTCTAGTGAACCACCATCTCATCTTCATTGATCTGTCTTTAGGTCGTTAAGTAACTTTCAACTTCACTAAATAACACAACCTAAACACCAGGACATTTTAATCTCTGTGCTGACTGCTTATTTAAATTTGGTTGTTGTTGTTAGACACACTTTACACAACAAGATTTCCTGGACCACTACTCTTACTTTTACATCTTGCACAATAATGATTCCTGATCAGAGACACAGTTCAAACATTTATCAGCCTATCAATAGCAAACACATATCTTGCTTGTCACCCTGCTTGCTGTGTTCAGTTTCCTCCAGTTTTAAGGTAACTAACGCTATCACTGTTTACTCTTAAATTGATAACAGATAGTTGGCTTGCTGTAGCTGTGATTGTTTTGAATTCTTAACAAATTTGGTTCTGTTCCAACAATAATTGTGTAATTTTTTTTAAACGGAGACACAAAGGTTGGCGTCACGCTTTGAGGTGAAAAAATCTTCAATTGGATAAATTACAGTCCTGCTATTTCACTGTCCAAAAATTTAACTTAAAAAACTTGATATTCGATAAGTTTTTTTACTTTCAAAAATATAATAGGTAAAAATAATATTTGTGATTAAAATGTTTAAAATGATTAAAATTTTGTGATTGAAATTGGAGTTTTATAAACCTAGCAAAATTAGGACCAAGTCCTGGCTTTTATTTTGCCTGGCAGGGCACGGCTTTTGAGGGAACCATTCCGGCATTATTAAAGAAACCGTACAAAACTTTCCTCAGATTGGCCAGTCTGATATCCGTACCTACCAAATGTGAAGTGGCATCATTGGTTACCTCACTCAGTCAGATTAATGTTAAATTATTAATACAGAGATACACTTAATTCTAGATATATAACGATATTTTAAACTTAAAACTAAATAAATTATATACTATGGTAATACTAGATTAACATTACAATACTTAATCCTAAAATATCCGTCCTTTTTCATCTTGCTTTCTTCCCTTGGTCACTCTGCAGGCCTTAGATAGATAGATATTTCTCCAGTTAAGTACTCAGTTCAATATCAGACCTTACATGCCTCCATGAACTTTCCACTGGGTTACTGAAGTCTCCAATATGTTGTTGACTTGTCTTTTGCTAGATTCCCAATAGTGAAGAATAAGCCAACTGAGAACTGACCATCATGAATTATCTGTCAAGCACTCTTTAGGACTTTATCTTCTAGGACTCTTCTGCTGATCACTCTTCAAAATAATAAAATATAATAATTTACGGCAAACTCTCCAGTCAGATCATATCTTTTTCCCCAAAGAAATATTGACTAAAAGTTTTTGTGTCAATGATTGAATTTTAAAAGTTTTTTGCTTTTATTTTGGTTAACAATAGACATATCCTGTTGAAACACATGATAAAAGACATACAAGGACATAGCATCTTTTTCCACAAGGCAATCAAGATTAAAATTACAACCAGATATTTATCTTAATGGTTCAAAATTAAATCAAGTGGAGCACACTAAATTCCTTGGTCTAATATTAGACCAGCATTTAACCTGGAATAAGCATGTGGTAAAAAATCTTCAGCGGGTATTTATGCTTTGCGACAAATGTCCCGTGTCTCAAGCATTGAAACTCTTAAAACTATTTACTTTGCTTTAATAAATTCACTTATAGCTTATGGAATCGCTTTATATGGTGGTACCACTAAAAAAAAACCTGAACTTATTTCTACGTCAACAGGAAAAAGCTCTTAGAATTATCATAAGTATAAAAAACAGAGAATCAGTTAGGGGATATTTTTCTAAATTGGGTATAATGACCATCTATGATTTATACATTTTTGGAACTATTCTACATGTAAAAAGTTTAGATCATCAAACTAACAATTTCCACAGTTACAATTTACGAAACACCAGGCAGTTAGAACAACACAGGTTATTTGAGGAAAAACCAGTTTAATTGGCAACAAATTTTTATTTAGTCTACCCAAAAATATTTTCAATGAACATAAAATTACAATAACTTAAAAAAACTACTGAAAAACTATTTTCAATCTTAACCATTATATTCAATAGAAGAGTTTTGGAAATTAAATAATTATAAATATGTTATGTTATCATTTATGTTTGTAATCTTTTATCCTAATTTTTTGTTTCTCTTTTCCTTTCTGTGTCGTAATTCATGTATTTCCTGTAAAAATACTTTTACGAATAAAGATGATTATGGTGTATTGTATAGCATAATTTTTAATCTGTCGTCAATGGCTTAAGTATCTATTTGTTATGTTATTGTCAAACGGAATCAATTAATCTGCATCAGTATCATAATATTGCTAACTTTGCGGAGAGATAGCTTAGTTGTTTCCCAGGTTTCAGGGATAGTAAACAAATTGTCAATGAACTTTTTTTTTAATTAACTATAATTTACATTTTACTTTTTAAAGTATACATTTTCATTTTACTAGGATTTATTTTGCCATAGTTTAATTTTAGCAATAAATTAATTGTTTACTCACATAGTTGTAGTACATGTTTACTCACTTCTGTAAAAATTCTGTTTGAATTTAAGTGTTTACCTCGCTTTCATGAATTTTACATAATGTCATAAAAAACCTTACTTAGGCTACATAATGATCTTTAAACTTTTTTTGCTCTAAGAATATTTAATTTCATTAATTTTAGTTTTCCTTTGCCTTTTAGTGCCTTTTAGATTCATTAAAAACGTCACATGCGACTGTCAAACTGCAAAAACACAGTTGCAGAAGTATTACAACAGTTGGCTACATTCTTAAAGCCAATGAAATGTATTTTTTGTTAAAGGCAGTTAAGTCCGGTGACCCAGTTGTATGTAAGTGTTGACGCAAGCACCAAGAATAGCCTCAAGAAGATTGATCGGCCGTTATTCTCTGACTTTTGGGAAAGGTTCCTAGATAGCCTTAAGGCACTGTCAAGAAAGGTAATTTAATTTGTGTTTGAGCTACCAAAGTTGATAACTATTATTATTAATTTTTTTTTATCTTTCACTGACAATAACAGGAATGTTTAAGACGGCATCAGAATTGATTTATTAGTTTTAGTATCCTTAATTGAAGTGAATTATTAACACAGCAGCAGAATTGATTTCCTAACCTTGGCAGGGCAGCCATCATTGTTAAACAAATATGTAAATTTTAGTTTACATAGAGTTGAATTGTAATTCTTTAGTGTCTATGACATGATCACAAAAAATATGCCACTTTGTATATGAAATGGTAATGTAATGGTAATTCGTAACAGAATTAATTATGATTACTATTACATGTCATCTTATATTTTCAGGGACAGAGAACAGTCTACCGTTTAACATTAGTGAAAGCTTGGAATGTAGAAGAGCTAGAAAGTTACTCACAACTAGTGAAGTTGGGAAAACCTGACTTTATTGAAATCAAGGTAAGCCTAATGTATCCTTTTTTTCTAATTGTATACTTGTGTTTGGCCAAAGTTTTCACCACACTTTGTTAATACTTAGTTTTTAGCAGATTCTTTTTGGACACCGGATTGAATACATTTTTTGGATCTGTTTTATGCCAGAAAACGTATTGTTAAACAAATATTTGACCAGTCAGTGCACTTTAAAAAAATTAAATATCATCCTTCATTAATACGGTACATTCGTTTTAATTTGTCAGTATTACTGTGCTTGTTTACATAGGTAATAGGGGGCCGCAGGAATTTTTACCCCCTGAGCAGACCTGAAGTCACTATAGCGTAGTCATCTGAACACTCTCAAGTTTGTTCGTGGGCGGAATTTTACCCCCCCCCCCCCCAGATTTGGAAGTCTGATGAAAATAGACAGAGCAATATAAATTAGATTAGCAATAAAAGCCGGAATTTTACCCCCTGCCCTAACTCGGGTTCAGGCAACTGAAGATGTACAGCTGGATTTTTACCCCCAGAATTTTACCCCCCGGAATTTTACCCCCAAGCCGGATATAGAAATTGGCAAAAATACTTAATTTAGTAAAAAATAAGAATGTTTAAATAAAATTAAATTAAAATTGCAATAAATTAAAATTTATTTTAATGTAAAGAAGCAATCACATGCTTATTTCACAATTTCGGACAGCTGATCTATGTGTGCTAGTTTTGATTTATTTGTTGAGATTTTGTAATTAATTATTGATTATGGAGTTAAGTAAGATTCCACCACCTTTGCAGTATCAACCTAGGCTTTGGCCCCGAATTATTAAAGACAGGATATGAAAATCATTTAGTGATATTTTTCAAGGAAACAGTAGGAAAACTTAAGGTAGTACATGTTTTGAATTATTTTGATATTTTGTTTACAGATTTAGTTTTTCTACAAAATTTAATATAAACAGCGGCAAATAGTAGTCAACTGATTTAAAAGTCTTTCTATAAAAACACCTATTATGTACAAAATTTATTATTCTCACCAAAAGCTATACCTGGACAGGGGTAAAATCCCGGGGGGGCACACTCTATATGGTTTTATAACTTAATTTGTCCTGATGAAATTCACAACCTTGAAAAGATGCCTTTAATTCCACCTTTAATTTATTCAACTCAGGTTGTGTAACTCAAAAGTTCACGGCCAGGAATTTAACCCCCTAGGCTGTGACGTCAGGTTTGCTCAGTGGGTAAAATTCCAGAATGATAAAATTCCTCTACCCGTATTAGGCATGTGTTTTAGAGTTTGTCTATTTCACTGGGGGTTTTAAGCTGGAACTTTTGGACAATTAAGGCAATTACATTTGTAACATTTAAACATTTTTAACAGAATTCCAAGGCATTAAAAATTATATTAACGATATTGGTAAATAAATTGTTGTCTCAAAAAATGCCCTTCAATCATTTATCTAATGTAACACTTGTCAGCTACAATGGGCTCTTGTGTTGTAGGGTGTAACGTTCTGCGGAGGAGGGGAAAACAACACTCTGACCATGCAGAATGTACCTTATCATGAGGAAGTGGTCACGTTCAGCTCTAAACTGACGGAGCTGTTGCCTGACTACGCACTGGCGTCGGAACATGAACACTCTAACTGTGTGCTGATAGCCAATAAAAAGGTTAGTTTTCACTCTTCAGCATAGCAACTGTAAGCGCTGTAGCACATGTTTTGTCAAAATCAAAATAATCCTACTAAAACGTGAGCACAAATGAAAACTTATTATACATTTAATAAATATAAATTGTACTAACACTACCACAATAGTCAATAGACACTAGGGATGGGTTGGTTTTTAATGTCGGTTGTGGGTTTTGCCGCAGTACAGAAGCACCTTGATTAACCCGTGGGTGGGGTTGGGGTCAATGGAAGACAATGTTGCAATCACAGTTTATATTCATGATGAGATTATATATATAGAATATATATATATATATATACAGGGTGATTGGTACTCAGTGTGACAAAATTCTTTTGGTGCAAGTATAAAGTAAATGAAGTGTGATGATACATATCAAATGTTCCAAGTCTAAAAATTAGCTTCCGAAAAAATTTTTTATGTTTTTCAAAAATAACCATGCTTATAAACATAATACAGCGATTTCTCAATTACCTGTATATGGATTTGAGTAGATAATGTCATTTTCGTGTTCTACATTAAATTTTGAACAAGAATAAGAGAAAATGACGGAGGATCAGTTGTAAAAACTCCATTGTAAATAGATTTAAAGATAAAAATTAAGATGTTTGATAAAAATTTAAAAAACAATGGTCTTTTTCATTTTTTACACCCTGTATACAAGAAAGTGTCGGAATATGTTAAAAACTGTGCCATTTTATAAGCTTTCCAACCATGTATTTGAGTATGTAATTGAGGTTCCTGTCCTTAAGAGAGCAGGGTGTCTACCAACCGGGAAATCCGGGAAAACTGGGAATTGTACTTAATTTTTTACTGGCCATGAAATGTACAGGAATTGTCCTTAAATGCCAGACTGTGTCCTTAAATTTTTAATGGGCCATAATTTTATCGGATCGCTAGTTGGTTAGGAGCACATAAAAGGTTTATCAGATGTTTGTTTACATTTTCATAATTTATTACTAGAGTAATTATGCAATAAAAACCCCATTATCAGTCTCAAACCCATTAATATTTTATCACCAATCAAGTGTCAAGTCAAGTACTGTACTTCCAAGAACTGTTGACTGGTAGCTTAGCTCATAAAGTTGTATCACTTTTATTTCTTTACAACTTCTTTACTTATTACTATTGTAATTATTATTAGATCCCAAACCTATTTTATCATGAAAATAATAGTTTTATAATGGCTGTTAAATTTCACTTCTTGTTCTTTCGGCTTGAAGATTCAATTTGCCACTGGCCTTTGCCTAGTGCCATAAAACTGTTTGTGGTTTCATATTAAACATGTAACTAATTAATGTACAGTCTTATTTTGTAAGTTGAACCCTTTTAGCGAATTTCCCTATAGGGTAGTAGCTATTACCGTAGGTCTCATGGTAAGACCTAAGCCCGGGACCAAGTTACTTTTTCATTTTGATGTCCCCAGAGGCCAAAAACACCATTCGTTAAAATTTTTATATATCTATATATAGATATATATATATACTAGTGGCCTGTAGGGGCCATTGCCCCTAATTTAGACTACAATAAAAAAAACCGTATATAAAAAGACAAATATTCGAAATATGTTTTTAAAATTATCAATTTTATGTTAGGCTACTTAAAATTAACAGTGTGTTTTGTTTTATATCTTGGTTTTCCTTCCGTTGGAGTCGTATATTAGTTGCTTCTGATGTGTCAATGAAATACGATTGTAAAATAATGATTAAATCAATAACACAACATATTAACAAAATGGAAACGTGCACACGGTTTGGCCTGAGCCCGGAGAACGACGAATACAAATATTCGAAATATGTTTTTAAAATTATCAATTTTATGTTAGGCTACTTAAAATTAACAGTGTGTTTTGTTTTATATCTTGGTTTTCCTTCCGTTGGAGTCGTATATTAGTTGCTTCTGATGTGTCAATGAAATACGATTGTAAAATAATGATTAAATCAATAACACAACATATTAACAAAATGGAAACGTGCACACGGTTTGGCCTGAGCCCGGAGAACGACGAATCATAGCTGAAATCATACAGCCAAACATTGCACATCTTTTCTAGTTTAAAATTAGAGATTTGTTTTGTAATCTTACGAATTCTGTTATAGTTTTAATTTTAAGAACCAAATGTAAAGGTTAAAATTATTATTAATTATTATGAAGGCAACTCCCCATTTTGCGGTAGTAAGTCAGAAATATATCTATGAATTTGTCCCTGAATTTTAAGACAGTAAGTAAGACCCATTTCCCGGAATCTCTTTTTGTGTAGCGCAAAGCGACGCAAAAGCCATTGCACTGTTGTATTGCCTTATGTTTTTTATGAAGTTCGAATCATGTAAAAACAGTTCTTTTAGTTTGTCATTTACTTGTGGTTGTGGCATGTCCATTGTGGCAACATGCGTTGAAATGTCCATTTGTGGCCTCCTCTGCAAAGTGAAATGCGTCACAATGCATGCAAGTGCTTTAAGAGGACCTAGATTGTGAGAAACAACACTCAACACATTTCAGCGTTCTTCTAAAGACAGGTTGTAAAACAGGTTCTGGTTTTTTTTCACAGTTAGGCCCTACATGACGTTCTATTTTGCATTTCTTAAGTCTGTTGAATTCCTGGACACTCTTCCACGTCTTGCAGGTCTTCCCCTACCCTGTCTAGTTACTTAACTCATTATAAAAACGGAAAACAAAAAAAATAAACACAATTCATTTTGAAACATTATTTACCAACATTGACTTTCGGAATAAATGTAAACATTGCAAATAAATAAGTAACAGCTGATAGAATGCAGACGTTTTTCAGTCCCCATGCATTTCTTATGGTGGATATTTTACGTTATATCTCGTTTTCTGGTAACTTTTTGGAAATTCTGCTATTTTTCCCGAGTCCCTGGGGTCAAGACCTTTAATTTAAGACCCCTCCCACTTTTCTGCAACTTACCAGACGTCCACAATTTTCTGGTAAAAATTTGGTCTTACAGAATTATATATATAGATATATATATGTGTGTCCATCCGCACGATAACTTGAGTAATTTTTGTCCGATTTTGATCAAATTTGGTTTGAAGGTGTAAGGCGGGATAAACTTGAATGATTTCGCGAACCAGCATGATCGGACTATGGGAACGGGGGGTTTAATGGGGTAAAAATAGGCTTTTCCCATTTTTGACCCTAAAAACACAAAATTTCACAATTTCTTTTTAAACCATTTTGTAGTGCTTAAAAAAACAAATAATTTAGTATATTGAAGCGTTATTATGCGCCTAATTGTTACGGAGAAAATTCAACAAAATTGTAATTTTAAAATTCCGATGTTATTCTTATGGAGCATAAGTCAACTGTTGTAGTTTGCTTGTTTATGAACATATTTTGATCAAATTTGGAAAATACATTAATTTCTTACTAAACCACAGTACCTTTTAACATTTTACATAAAAAAAAACTTCTGTCCTTGAATTTTTTATCCAGAATGTAGTAGACACCCTGGAGGGTTATCGAAAAACTGATATTTAAGGCCTTTTCACACCGGCGTACTGGACGTACTGTACGTTTGGTACGTTTTTTTTTCAACAAATCGCTGCCCATGTTATCATATGAGCTCGTTCACACCACGCGTACAGATCGTACTGTACGTCCAGTACGTACGCGATGGTTTTGTGTGAATCGCTTGGAGAGCGATTTTTCTAAAACGTACGTGGCATACATGGGCTCGCGCATGCGCAGTGAACACTTCCAAACCACGTGCTCAGCCAGTGTTACTTGTCTGACTGCAAACGAACAAGTGTACGTTTTGGAAGTTTCTGTGCGGTGTGAAAGGACCGCGTACAGTACGTACTGTACGTACAGTACGCCGGTGTGAAAAGGCCTTTAGGGGAAAGTTTCACATCAAGACATTTTATTCAAGTATGTGGTTGATAGGTGTGCGGTTTAAGGTTTTCTAAAATGTTCAAATACTTGTTAGCTTTATTTTTATTATTATTATTATTATTTTATGGCCAGCATTGGACCACTTAAGTCAATATAATGGTTAGATTCTTTTTAAATTCTGTCTCTTCTTCTTGTCCGCCCAATACTTCTTCATTCTTTCCGACCGTTGTTTTCTTTCTTCTTCCGAAACCACTCTTCCTTGTCTCTGATTGTTTGCTCCTATTGGCAGGATGATATTTCTGTCTTTGAGTACTGCAAGCGCCTCTGACTTATTTTCCAAATCTTCTAATGATATTTTCAACCTTCTCATGTCCTCCTTAATCTCTGTAATCCACCTAAAGTCACTCTTGCTATTCCACAACTTGTCAATTATTTTCTTGCTTATTCTATTTTCCGGTGTCCTTAAAAGATGTCCAATGAATGAAATTCTTTTCTTTTTAATTATACTTGTCAATGGCTCTATTTCCTTATATACAGTTTTATTAGAGGCCAGTCTCCAAACTCCATCTTTTTGATATTTTTTGTTCATACATGTTCTGATGATTCTTCTTTCTATTTTTACTATTTTATCTATTGCTACAGTGTTAGTTGTTTTAAATATAGTTTCACTTGCATATGTTATTTGTGGAAGTATAACTGCTTTGTAGTGTTTCAATTTTGTTGCTATAGATAGGCATTTTTTGTTGTATGTGTTTTTAGTAATATGTTGCATTCTGATCAATTTATTAATTCTATTTTGCCATGATGGATTTTCTTTAAGATTGTATGTTATAACTTCACCTAAGTATTTGAAATTTTCTACAATTTTGATGCAATGTTCTCCAATTTTGATTGCGTTAGCCAATGGTGGTTTTGTTAACATTATTTCAGTTTTCTCAAAAGATTAGCGTGTTAAATGAACGTGTTAGCTTTATATAGATTTATCTTTCATTAAATGTTGTTGATCCTAGATGTTATGAATTCCAGTTCCTTGTAGACGGAGAGTGGTGGACATGGATCAACTATGAACGTTTCCACAAGCTTGTGGAAAGGTTAGAAAAGACAGGGGAGCCCTTTACTGCACTAGTAAGTGAAACAAGCTAATTGTGTTGTGTTTCGAGGTTTAGCATGAGTTGGTGAACAGAAGAATCATCAATTCAGTGTTTCAAAAAAAATAAATAAGAAGTACTACACTTATATACTTTGCATTAACAAAATAAAATTGAAAATATACACAAAACATGTGACAAAAGGAAATAGGTGATCTGTTTTGTTTGGACTCAGTTGTCAACACAAGACCCGTTAAGACATTTACAATAACCACATGGTGTCCCTAGTTTAATACTATTGATATTGATAACCATAAGTTGATGTATAAGTACCAGAGTCAAACCCACCTGTTTACTCGTGGTAAGTTAACTTTTGCATTTTCATCTATAAATAAATATACGTATACAAATACATACAGTATATATATCACTTTCTTGTTTTCCCCTCAGTCTTCCTAAATGACTGTTCTTTCTTAACATGTATTTAAAGACTACTACCATTGACTATCGGATACTGAAATATACATCCCATCTATATGAACCAGCTGTAGCCAATTTTTTATTAAAAAAGAAATTGGTTGTTTTGTGGCCAGTCACAAAATGCACTAGTGTCTAAAATACTATTTTCTTCTTTTTCTTTTTTTGTTGCTGACATAGTCAATGGGTCATAAACAGTTGCTATAGCTCGTACAATAAGTCGTTTATCAGTTTGACTTGGTAAAAAAGTTCATGTATTCGACGGAAATCAGTAATTTATATCAGTACAATCTGTCGGTGGCTCACATCAAATACAAAATTTTTTTTTAAATAGGCGACATTTTTAACATGGAAATGGAATGGTTAAACATATTAATATTTATAATCCTACACATCATACTAATAAAGAAGTTAAATTATATTGTTTAAGTAAGTATATATATTAACTAGTTGTTGTTCTGTTTGACCAGGACTACATACACCCAACACCGTCATGGGCAGTGTTTGGCTGTGATGAGAGAGGGTTCGATCCTGTAGAGACTCGCTGGCACAGGCGGCCGGCCACTGCTGGGTGTTAAAACACTCCTTAGTATTTTTATAGTATTGTTCTTATCAGTATGTCAACTATAGTAGAACCTCTTTTATCTGGCTACCTCCAATCTTAGCCTCAAACAAATCTAAATACTGATCTCCCTCAAAAACAAACCAACTTTAATTTCACACATTTATTAGCGGCTAGGTCCAATGAATTGTTGGTGAAAAAGACAATTAAATCTCAATCAATATAATAGAATTCAATATTTATGTTTAAAAGAGGCTAAAATCTCATTTATGTTTATTGGGTTATGTTTGAAATAAAAATCACATCTCTCAAGCCAATAGACGCTACCAATGTTGACTAAGCTTGTCTTAGATGACTACCAAATCAACTAAATCAGAATAACAGTGTACACAGATTAGCAATGTACAATTACAATTGGGTTTTTAATAAATTTGATACGAAATACTGAAAAATGAAGGAACATAAAAATAGCTTGAAATAAGTATATATTTTTAATTCCAAAAAGCAAGTAAGTACTTAAAAATTGAAGGTCCAATTTGAGGGGTTCTACTGTATTTGTGTGTTTTGTTGTTAGTACAATTATTATTTTGAAGTGAATCCTTGTTTTTAGATTTGACTGAAAGATTTTTTGTCGAATTGTCTTCATTTGTTTTTTTTTTTAATTCATCACAACTTCTCTATGTACTAAGCACAATTTATCTTGAGCTGAGTGTATTTACTTTTCACAATTATTTAAAAGTGAATTTACTGAAAAAGGAAGTATTATGTAGTTTATTTTACTCTTGCAGTCGAGTAAACCAAAGCTTATGATATTTTGTGTTCAATATACTACATTCAGTTGATTCATTATTCATTATATATTTTTGAGAAAAATGATAATCCTGACAGAGAATGTGTATTCCTTAGAGTAACCTATTTTGTGATAAGATAATTTAAGGTTTTAAAAGTCTGATATAATTTTGCTCTGCTTGTTAAGATTTCCATTACAGTAAGTTTCTAAAGATGTTTGAGTTTTCCTTTCCGATCCTAAATTTCTTTATTACTACTATTGTTAAATGTTACATATCTAAACTAAACTCTAAACTAATATTGGCGGATGTTTTAACGGGGAATAAGCTTTTTAAGAATAAAACAAGAATTTCAGAATTGGTTGGATGTAATTTAATTTTTTTTTACATAACAGTCAAATGAAATGAGTGTTAACAATAAAAATCATACTAGTATTCATGGATTTAGTATATCCAAATATTTTAATTGTGTTTGTTATTTTTTGTTTAGCTGATTCAAATCAAGTTTTTTTATACATTTTTGGTAATAACTTTTACGCCACACTACACTGTTTTGACAAACTTCCCACGCAAGGAAACAGTCCAGAAAACAGCTATTTGCTGCCAGCCTTATCAAATGGGGTTTCATTACGTACTACTGTACTGTTAATGACTTTTACCAGACACCAACCAGCTGATTATACTGTATTTGGCAATGAGTGGTTATAAACAAAAACATAACCTCTCTTAGAGGTTATGACTAGTGATTGTTAGTCCTTAAGTCGGTGGTAATATATAAGGATTTGTACAGATTTATTAGTATGGTGTAAAATGTCGTACGCCACTCGTCCAAAATGTGTTTACCGGACTAGTATAGTAATCCCGTACTCGACTTTGTCTCACATGGGAACGACCACACTCGTCCGGTAAATACCTATTTTCAGGACTAGTAATGTAATATACTATTACACCAAGTGAAAATTATGTGTAAAACTGTATTAATTTATCAGAAGATAAAAACCCTTAAAGTTATTCTAATTTTCAAAAACAGCTGCAACATCTTGTCTTCTTTGCTTGTTCGAAAAACAGGTATTCCTGAAACATTGAATAAATAATTAGGTCATTTTATAGTATTTACTTGAATAGCTGCTGCTTTGTCAAGAGTGTGCCTTTTACCGAGTGCCAGGCTTTATTACTGTTGGAAGTATTTACTTGAATAGCTGCTGCTTTGTCAAGAGTGTGCCTTTTACCGAGTGCCAGGCTTTATTACTGTTGGAAGTATTTACTTGAATAGCTGCTGCTTTGTCAAGAATGTGCCTTTTACAGAGTGCCAGGCTTTATTACTGTTGGAAGTATTTACTTGAATAGCTGCTGCTTTGTCAAGAGTGTGCCTTTTACAGAGTGCCAGGCTTTATTACTGTTGGAAGTATTTACTTGAATAGCTGCTGCTTTGTCAAGAGTGTGCCTTTTACCGAGTGCCAGGCTTTATTACTGTTGGAAGTATTTACTTGAATAGCTGCTGCTTTGTCAAGAGTGTGCCTTTTACCGAGTGCCAGGCTTTATTACTGTTGGAAGTATTTACTTGAATAGCTGCTGCTTTGTCAAGAGTGTGCCTTTTACCGAGTGCCAGGCTTTATTACTGTTGGAAGTATTTACTTGAATAGCTGCTGCTTTGTCAAGAGTGTGCCTTTTACCGAGTGCCAGGCTTTATTACTGTTGGAAGTATTTACTTGAATAGCTGCTGCTTTGTCAAGAGTGTGCCTTTTACTGAGTGCCAGGCTTTATTACTGTGGAAGTACTTACTTGAATAGCTGCTGCTTTGTCAAGAGTGTGCCTTTTACAGAGTGCCAGGCTTTATTACTGTTGGAAGTACTTACTTGAATAGCTGCTGCTTTGTCAAGAGTGTGCCTTTTACAGAGTGCCAGGCTTTATTACTGTTGGAAGTATTTACTTGAATAGCTGCTGCTTTGTCAAGAGTGTGCCTTTTACAGAGTGCCAGGCTTTATTACTGTTGGAAGTATTTACTTGAATAGCTGCTGCTTTGTCAAGAGTGTGCCTTTTACAGAGTGCCAGGCTTTATTACTGTTGGAAGTACTTACTTGAATAGCTGCTGCTTTGTCAAGAGTGTGCCTTTTACAGAGTGCCAGGCTTCATTACTGTTGGAAGTATTTACTTGAATAGCTGCTGCTTTGTCAAGAGTGTGCCTTTTACCGAGTGCCAGGCTTTATTACTGTTGGAAGTATTTACTTGAATAGCTGCTGCTTTGTCAAGAGTGTGCCTTTTACCGAGTGCCAGGCTTTATTACTGTTGGAAGTATTTACTTGAATAGCTGCTGCTTGGTCAAGAGTGTGCCTTTTACCGAGTGCCAGGCTTTATTACTGTGGAATTGCAACACAGCTTTTCAGCTTATTGGGCATCCTATTTATTTGGCAAATCCCAATAACTTGTATGATGATTTATTGACTCACCAGCAAGAAGGCAGCTCCGATGAGCAAAGCTTTCTGTTTATTCTCCAAGTGCTGTGATGGGAACACTATACTGAGGTTGTAATTGACCAGAGTCTGGTCCCAGTAGTGTGCAATGCTTCCTATCTGCTTACCAGTCTCTGTGTGTATCACCTTAAAAGTACAAGAATTAACATAATACAAATTTTTGTTTATGTAGGGATATTTTCAGCAAGTCATTAGGCCTATATATGTTGCAGTGTGTAAAACAATAGATAAGGGTTGTCCTGAATACCTGGGTATCTCAGTGTTATAGTGCTTGCTTAGTTATCAAAAGGTCGCGGGTTCAATCCTGAGAAAAGTGTTTAGCATTTTGATGGTTTGAAACTGGACCCACCTGTCCTTGATCATTGGGCTTTTAATAAATGGTCCTGTCTAATGAAATAGCTACACAAGGCATCACATTCCATTCTACACACATCCTTCACTCTTATTTGGGTTATAATAAGCACATAGGTGGCGTCCCTTCCCAAATTATAATAAAAATAAAGTTCATTGTTGGTGATTGTGGATTATTGCGGACATTTTCCATCACGATTGTAAAACCAATGCACAACATTTCTGGAGCTGAAATCTGATCCTGTCCTCAGGTGAAAAAAAACTTAATCAACACATTACAACCAACAATACACATAACCCAACCCCAAATTAAGTTGGAATAAACCAGAGAGAGCATCAGTCAAGTATATGCACTGTATAGCAGTCAAGTCATGATACAAAATTGAAAATATGGTAAATAGCTCACAACAATGAAAAACTAGGGAAATGGCGTGCCTGAAAAAGTAAAACCTACGAAACAGTGTAGCGACGAACAACGACGAAAAAAAGGGGATGTTAATTTTGTTCATTGCTGTCAGAAAATTTACTACGACTAAAAGTTAACAAAAAGTGCTAATTTTGAGGAGAACTCACGATTTCCCTATTTATCGAAAAATTACGTTCCGTATACTTTAGTTCATTGTTAATAATGGGTAGCCATAGTTGCCTGATTTCAACCGAAGATTGATTGATAGGTTGGTTAAATTAATGTACGAGGCGAAGCAATCAATGAGTTTACGTTTAAAAGTGAGGTTCCTAAAGGACAATTTTTGCATCTTCAAAATTCATACAATGATTTTCGGACCAGTAATTTATGTTTCTTTTTATTCTAGTGTTCAAAGGTATTTTTGTCTCGCCATGGTAAGGCCTGAAACAATCATTACAATTTATTCTATAAACACAGTTTTTAGTATCCTGAGTGTCATTTCTGGGTTTTTGTGTCTACAAAACTGCCGTAGTGTGTTTTGTATCTTAAACGGAAATATGATTTTTTTCATTTCCTTTCTACATATGTATTTGTTCCGTTTAGTTTTATTTTGCATTTTGTATGATAACTTGACTTGCTACTCTCTGTAGTTATTCCAACATAGGTGGAGTTTTATGTATTGTTAGTTGTTTGTAATGTTGTTATGTTGTTTTTTTTCACCTGAGGACATGATCAGATTTGAAATCCCAAAACGTTATGTATTTCTTTTTACCATTGTGATAAAAAATGTCTGCAATAAACCTTAAAACATAAACAACATGGGGTTGTGTTGCAAGCCTAGTAAGTGTTTGGCTAATTTACCTCAGCTTTATACCCATTGGCTGTAAAAAAAGCTTTTATTTATGTAGGAAATTGACAATATTGTATGAAGTGTTGCATTGAACTGGGTTCAGGACAAACCTGGAAGGTAGCATCCTTGTACATGGCACAGGTGCACACTCTAGGTCCTTGGATGAGAAACAGCTTCCGGCCACTCTGATCATGAACAGAGAAGCGAGGGACCAGGAATGTCCACTCCTGCCGAACACTTCCCAGGGAATCCCAGGAGGGTAGGTAGATATCTAGCCTCTGTACAAGAAAATTTCTGTCAGGATATTTGATTATGTAGATAATGTTAATAATTATTTTTAGAAAGTATGGAAAAATACAACAGTTAAGATCAAACTGTTGTGAAAAAAATTAGTGTAGAAATTTTCATGACGATTTGTAAAGGACATTTTTTTTTAATTCATGATTTGTAATCTGATCACGTCCTTAAGTGAGACTACCATATCATCAACATAAACTCTCATCACCAACTATACATTTCTAAGAAAGTTATGAAATAGGAATTGTCACCACACCCAGTAACTTTGTAAAGTTATCAAATCTTTTAGTATCATTTGTACCTGGAGATAACAGCCGCAAGAGCATGCCAGTCTCCTGACGAGTGTCGCTGCTGTTTGTCTCGAGGGGTCTACCAAAGTCAGCTGATAACCTCGTGCTGAACCACAACATAGACGCTGACAGTCACTTGACGTCTCTGCTCCAACGTAGAGTGTCTCTCCCTCGGGAGTCTTCACCAAGTAGCGATTCTCTGATTCTATCTTAGAAAGCACTAAAAAAGATTGTATACTTGAGTTTGCTATAAAATGTGTTTTGCATGTTTCAACCAGACTGAAGTGTAAGTAAACTAGCAACAGGTCTAAGTTGCAAAGACGGCAGTGTATGAAGTGAAAGAGTGTGATTAAATTAAAATTCCTTTATGGAAGCATAGCTGGGTAATGACTAGTAGACTTAGCTTCCAAGATAGAAGCTGAAAACTAGAGAAGACCCAAAAATTTAGGAATTTCATTATCATTTTTAGCGGTGGATTTTATTAATGTTTTCTATATTATCTTGATTGCGGAAGATGTTTGCAAAGTTTAGGCAATTGACAAAAATATTCAATTATTTGCCTCGGACTTGTTTAAGAAGTGAACACATCCACATGTACGACAAATGGTTACACATTTGCCAATTCAAAGACATGTTCATCCCTTGAATATTAAGATTAAACAGTCTTCTTTGACTGTAGAGATCTACCATCAAAATTAAGTGAATTTACAATTATTTTAATTTCAATTACCTACCTACTCATATATAGTCCTTTAAAAAAATCCATTTGAAGATAACAATGTCTGTTACATAAACCATGTACAGTAGAACTTTTTTGTTTGAAATATATTCAACTTATACTGTCTATTCAAAACCAACATTTTACATTCATATTTGTGTCTGATTTTATTTAACTACATGTTTAGAGAGCTTCAAGAGCCCAACGAGGTGGAAAAAACTCACAATCATGAAGTTCAACTGTTTGTTGGATGTCAAGCCTCTCGACACCCGCCAGAAACTGCAACCCTGTGAGGGGAATGAAACTACCGAGGTTGGCTGAGGTAAGGTCCCCGACTGGAAAATCACAACTTCACAAATTTACTAATACTAAATATTAGTAATACTAATATTAGAAGTAGTAACTTCACAAATACGAGCACAAAGTACATACGAAGTTTTAGCTGAGATACATTTCAAGAGCGGCAATGACTGAATCAGAATCATTTATTGTCTTTCAGCATATAAGTGTGTGATCATAATACACACAAGATTTATCACACCTCTGTAATCAACTTATCATAATACATAGATTAACTTTTTAGTCTTATTTAAAATGTAATTTAGGTTTTGTTTGCGTTTACTTTTTTAGGTCATGTCATTTGCTTATTGGTTATCGGATGTGCGATTGTGAATGGTGTAGAAATGCCGACTGTTCAATCAGCTGATTAAGCGAGCGCTCTTAGAGCATAAAAGAGCTATTTTGCGTACTGTTTACAGATGTGGCTATGTGATCATTTCCATGCAGGGGTAGGAAATAGTTATTTTCCTACAGTCCCCCGACAAAGTTGGCTTCCTTATACTGTTTATAGTACAGAAAGCTGCTAATTGCTGCATATTTATACTTTGTCGTACGGTTTATACTTTGTCGTACGGTTTATATTTTGGCGCACATCAGGATTCCAACGAAACAACACAAAACAGCGGGGTTCTATTATGCACGTAATCCTTGTACGCTTGGAAATAGGTTGGCAACACTTAAAGATAATAAATACTATGAGCAGCTGATTGACTAACTACGATTTAACCTGTCATTTTGTGTTTATAGTTTATGTTCTCTTTTCGGTATTTCTGAAATTTCTGGACTTTTCTTTTAAACGATTTAAAACATTCCTACGATCTTAATAAACAAGAAAATACCTTTAAAGAATTCTTTTAGGTGCGGAAACCACTGCAAATTACAAAAATATACGGAACTATTTTCTCAAGTCGCGGAGCACAATGCTTGCCGAGGAAAAAATAGCGGAGTGATACGGACTTGGGACTACTTTCTCTAGAGCACCTATTAATTTGTGTTGCCAGCTGAACCTAAAAACGTGTTGTAGTGTTTGAAAGACCAATTATTTATTGTGCTTTATAGTGACTGTAGGAAAAATATAATGTGTAACACGAGTGCAAAAGGCCTTTGCTGCACTCGAGATCATTCCGTAAACGTACGTTGCTCTCGTGTGCAGCAAAGTGAGCAATTGCCTCACTCAAGAGAAATCCTTACGAGGAATGGTGTCTCAAGTGAGGCAGTTGCACTTGGCACTTGAGTTGCACATAAAATTTTTTCCTACAGTTAGGTACCATAAAACAAATAAATTGGTAAAGAAACGTAACATAATTTTACACAGAAGTGAACTTTTAATATGACATTTAATGTGAACAGTACAACAGCTTACCAGCTGACTTACAAGCCAGTGCTGCCAACGTATTTCGCGTGCATACGACCTTCTCTGCATGTTACGCACTCACTATTTCGTGCCTTCACGTTGCAAATCTGGATTGAGACAAAGTAATTAGAGTGAGTCAATGTTAGCATTGTCTCACTGATGAGCGAATTGGCCACTTTGTTTTCTCAAATCAGTGAGAGAACATGTACATGGTTAGGTACTGTAGGAAAAATATATAACCAGTATTTACACAGTACAGTTGGGTTTTTAAAACTATAAGCGGTTGAGGTATTATCTTTGACAATGAACTTCTTTGACTCCAGTGTGATCATGTGATAATAGGCACTACTTGCCAAATTTGAGGTTAAATCAAAACAAACTGCCATAAATCATAGAACATACAACAGCTACATTGAGAAATAGAATTCCTACTTGCAGTTTAAAAAATAACTGTTTGAGAATTTTTACCTTAAATTGTAATTTGTAATTCCCAATTACAAATCAACTCGGCAGGATAAACCATTAATTTGGGATTGGGACATTAGTGATGATTTATATTTCGTTTGTAAGTTTTTACATTGAATATCTTCAATGGTGTTGTTTTCTGTTACCCTACATCAAACATATCAGATTGTCTGTTTTGATTTAACCTCAAAATTTGACAAGTTTGATCACATGATCACACGACAAACAAAGAAAGTTTATTGTCAAAGATAGTCCACCATATTGGCTTGGCTTCTAGTTAAAAAAATCAAACCGTACTAGCTTCTAACCTTAATTTTTAAAACTAAGAGCAAACATCCTGTATAAAATATAACTAACTGTAAATGACTAGTTACCTGTTGTTATGGGCATAGGGTGGCGGAGTCCATCAATACCTAAAAATATTTAACCAATTTAAAATCATGTTTTCAGTTTGAGTACCTATTACTATTGAAACTATTTTTAAGTTAACAGATGATCAATCTATTTTTTAGATAATTTTTATTTCTGGATTATTAGTCAAGCTGATGGATCAAATGAATGAAAAATTAACTCAGTACCGGTACTGATTAAAAATAAATATCAATATCACTCAAAACTTTAACTTCCAGGGTTGTTTCCAAGACTAAACGTTTTTCTCAGCTCCATCTCAAAAATGTGTTTTATGCTTTTATCATTATTTGTTTTGTTACCTTTCAGTTTTTAGCGAATTTCCCAATAGGGAAGTAGCTATTTAAAAGTTTTCAAAGTTATTATTATTGTCTGCACGATTTTTTCAATAGACAATAGACATTGAACATCGTCCTGTTTTAAATCATTTGTAGGTCTAAATTAAAATCTACAGTATACTCTCTCTTATCCGGACTCCTCGGGACCGAGGCCAGTCCGGATAACGGGTTTTACGGTTAATTCGACGTCCCCAAAAACTCGTTAAAACGGACTGTTTACTGTGATATTCGACTTAAATTTATGAAAGCATTGTATTTAGACACATGATCACTGGTCTCAAATCTTTCCCTTGAAACAGTCGTTTCAGTACTGCCCACTTCCTGTCGATCTACGGTTAAACCAATGTGCTGACAAAAATTGTCCGGTTAAAGAGATGTCATTTCCCCGAGTGTAGTCCGGTTAAAAGGTGTCCGGATAAGAGGGAGTCTACTGTACAAACTTCTATATGTACTTGCCTTGCAGACTGTGTGGTTGTACAGTTATTACTGTTTTCTCCGAATAAATTGTTGGAAGACATTCTGTAACAATTAACAAAAATACTTATTACAATCAATTGTTTAGCTTTATTTGTTTCTTTTTGAATTTGTTTCAAAATCAATTTTTATCATCCTGCCACCTTAGTTTCTATGTACTCGTTCTATTTTGGATTGTATTCTGCCCATATTGTTTGCCTTATTTTTCACCGTGTACCTGCCATTAGTAGACTAGATTTTAGATTAGAACCAGACCAGCTTGTCTTAACTTATTTGATTAAATTATCTTTGTTATTATTTTATGTGAAATATTTAATTACATTTTAATATTCTGTAGCAATTTATTACACGTAGCAAATGTCGACCACTATTGCACTGTAAAATGTTTAATAAAGATTCTTATTCTTATTCTTTACTGTACCAGTAATCTAAGAGTTACCATAGGTCATTTCTAGATTTTGAGTTTTGTTTACGTTAAGAGACAGCTTATTGGCCTTACACCAGTCGGACATTGATTTAACATACTCAGAAATTACACTGTCCTGCATACACTTAGTAGACTTGATATTCAAACACACATCGTCTGCATACATAAAACATGAAACATCATTACTTTGGACATTAAAAGGTAAGTCGTTTACATAGATAATGAAGAGTAGGGGGCCTAAAATGGACCCTTGTGGCACTCCGTGGGGAGTGTGTTTAACCTCTGACAGTGAATCCTGGAAATAAACAGCCTGGAATCTGTTGCTCAGATATGACTCAATCAAAGACACAGCATAATCACAAAAACCAAATGACTTTAGTTTGCCTAGTAAAACACTGTGAGACACAGTGTTGAAGGCCCTTGAGAGATAAAAAAATGTTGAGCAAACACCTTGTTTTCTTTCCATGGCCTCTAGGGTGTCCTGAATGTAATTTAAGACCGCCTCCGTAGTGGATCGGTGCTTGCGAAAACCAAATTGCGCACACGAAAGCAAACCGTTTGTATCCAGAAAGTTAACTATTTGCCATGAAAGCACCCTCTCAATGACCTTCGACAGAGTGGGCACCAAGGCCACAGGCCTATAATTGCTAACATCCAATCTATTACCTTTTTTAAATATTGGAACTATCTTAGAAATTTTAAGTTTTTCTGGGAAAGTTTTCCCCGTAATAAAGGAGTTAATGATGTGTGCAATGACTTCACATAAATAATTACTACCAAACTTTAGAATCTGAGAACTTAAACCAAAAATATCAAGACTTCTTATACTCAAACCTAATCAACTGAAACATCATGAGCTGGTATTACCCAGATCTTACGCAGATAAAAAACCTGATACAATCTATGTAAACTTTCCAACCTCTCAGTGTATTTCCCATTACCTTATTTTCTAAGATCAATTGTATAGTAAATGTTATTGTCACGGTTTGTCTATAAAATCATGATATATATCTTTTAGTTACACTTATGTTACCATATCAAAGTGGTGAGCTCATGATATACAAACCAATTCTACTTACTAACCTCTCACTTTAACATCCCTTTCTTTATCCTCTTTCATTGTTGAATCTCCTAAGTCTCTGTCTAAACTTTGCCTCGTAACTTACTGGGAATTCACTTCATCTATATTCTCCATTGCTGTTTGTCATCGCCAATAACTGCTCTTACCTGCTTTATCTAATCTCAACACTTTGTAGATAAGAATGTTGATCACTTTTCCCAGTCATGAGCCCTATGCACTGCCTAATTGACAATGCTATATCTATATGGTCTGACAAGAATAGTTATTTGTACTACTTGTTATTTAGTAGTACTTGAGCCGTAGGCGAGTGAGGAATGGTTTCTCTTCTCGAGTGAGGCGATTGCACTTTGCACTCGAGTTGCATATTATATTTTTTCCTACAGTTACCATAAAACAAATAAATTGGTAAAAAAACGTGCCTTCACGTTGCGAATTTTTGTCTATTGTCTATTGAATCTGGAGTGAGACAAAGTAATTAGAGTGAGACAATATTAACATTGTCTCACTGATGAGCGAATTGGCCACTTTGCTTTCTCAAATCAGTGACAGAACATACATTGTTAGGTAACTGTAGGAAAATGTATATTTCTTAAAATAGCAACAGACCAATAATACTTTTAAGTTAACTTTTGTCTATCAACAAATGAAAATCAACAAGTTCAAGAACATGTTAAGAACATATTTAAGTCAAGCGGCCTACTACAATGTTGATGAAATATATATCCAGGCTATATGCAGCCCTGAAGAGAAAATGAAACCATAGATACTGCATATACATAGAAAAAAAAGTATAAAACCGGACGACCACGTCGCTGGTGCGATACCAGTGGGAATACTCCAAGTATCCAAGTAAAAGAATAGTTTTAGTATTACTATACACAATACAATGCATTTAGCTTAAATAAAAAATGTTTACACAGTTATAAGGTCTTGGGAAATGAATTATTGAGCGGAGCGAAGCGAAGCTCTTTGAGATCAACTTTTACACAAACATTCTAATCTAACACATTAACTCAATAACGGCCGAACATATTTTAGCCAAATTTACCAAGGTTGTTTTGTCAAATGTTTGGAAGGTTTAGACGGAACCAATTTCAATTTTTGATAATGCCTATATAATTTAAAAGTAACTCAAAGTGTATACATTTTAACATTGGCCTTACGGGTTGCCATGATGGTTACAAAATAGATGTGAATGCAAACAAAACAAAGAATCATAGCATATGTTAAAATCAAGCAACGACCTAAACACAGTACAAAGGGAAAAAAATTTGGATGATGATCACTGATCAAATAATACAGAGAAAGTCTTACCTTTCTCTAAGTTTACATTTCAGTCGCAATTTGGAAACGACCACTCATAGAATAGGTACAGTATTTCACAGATATGATTTACGTAGCTAAATAAGGTTATATAGCAAATAATGTTTATCTTATGTTATAGGGAATTAAAAAAACTAACTTTGCACGATTCTGCAGTTTCAAAGGGATCATCCCATTACCAGGTATTCTCAAATCAATATTTTTATCTTAATAGGCTATTATGAACGTGCTTTCTTATTATTCACTTTGAAATATTTTTTATGATCGTGGATGATATCATTGTGTTGGCAATAACTTGGGGTATATTATTGCCCAAGAAGGAGAAGGATAAAGTTGGCTATTTTTTGCGTTTTTCGTTTTTGTTTTACAAGAAAATATCTAATTCCCATAAAAGTTTCATATTGAGGAAAATTTCAGAATGCATTCCCAAAAACTGTCTGATATTTGTAGAAAATGAAGACGAGCAATTAATAAACTGCCAAATCGCATGAACAACTACTTCTGGCAATGTTTTGAGATAGTTGAATGTAGAACATTTTGCTTGTAAACAATGCTTCTCATAGATGTGTTAAATGTACAAAATTTAAGAAAACATTAAACCTCACAAGGTATGGTGACAACTATTTGTGCAATTCTTTCCAAGCAGGCAAGTCTTTAAAGAGTTACATCTGCTAATCATATGGATCCATACAGGATTATTTCTGTCTGAATTGCAAAATCTGGCCAAGATTGCTCAACTGGCTTTCACTGCTATGAAAGCAATCCTAGTTTTTATAGTATTGCTAACTTGCCTAGTCTATCAGAGCTTGGAACTTCTATCCTAGGTGGGTTTGAATCCCACCAACTAATACCTAATGCATTTAGCCATGCTAGGAAGCATTGACTCAGTCTGTAGTACAGTGTTTTTTTTTTTTTTTTTTTTTTTTATTTAGGTTAAGGACTCTACTTGTTAGAAAAAAACAAAAGATTCCATAGGCGAGGAGAACTGTCGCTATAAAGACTCCTTACACAAAGCTCCAGCTAAAAATAAAAAATGTATTGAAATGAGAGGTAACCCATCAAGTATTTTAGACCAAGGTATAGGCATTATAAATGGAAGTTTTGTTCCAGAAACTAAGGGATATTCAAAGTAGCTAGAAGTGTTGATGTATCAGAAAGTCCCAACTAAAAGGTTATACCACAGAGAAGTAATATACAAAAGAAACATTCGTTTAGTACACTTAAGTGGTTTCTAGCACTAGTGCTGGTATCTAGGGTAATAGCTCCCCCGCCATCATGTACTACAACGCTCTCGGTGGAGGAAGTCCCTGTGCCCTCCTGTGCGATAGGAATTTCTGCATAGTGTTCACCATTCAGGCTCTTCCTTGTGAAAAGTATATTTCTGTCCCAACATTCTAGAGCTGAAAGTGCATGGTTGTCTCATAAGTTTTTATCCTCTGTAACTTACTAAGCTGTGGTTAAACTGACCTCCACACTGTCAAAAAAAATTAAAATGTAAAGGTTAAACTTTGAAAACTAATTAGCTCTACTGTACAGTTATTTGTGAGTCTAGTTCATAGTGTTTCTACTATGTTTTTAAGCTTTTATTATTTTTTTATCAGTATTTTTTCATTTGGCATTTTTTTCTAAATTTTTGCAAGGGAATGGTCCAAACCCTAGTCTTGTTACCATCCAACATCAATCTTTTGTTAAGGGAGCATAATCAGTAATAGCCCTATGACCAAAGGAAATCGGGGTCCAGAATCAGTAAATTTGTTGGAGACATTTACTTTGGAAATGCTATAATTCAAAGAAAGCTATAAAGTGTTAATCTCTTTATTTCCATGGAAGCGAATATTTATCCATCCCCCAAAAAAATTTTTGTCGCTGTATTATTTAATTAAAACTATGTGTGAGAGGACAAAAGATGACTTTGTTTCAGTATATAAGAAAACGTACATCAGAAAATATGGTTTCAGGTTAAATTAGTTCCCAAACTGTAGTTTTTATTTTATAAATTAAGAATATAGGTAATCAATGGTACATTATAGAGATTACTAAATGAAGGTTTACACACTACGATGAAACATATGACATGTCTGCAACGACAAATCGCTACATTTTGCCGGATATTGGGCCGTGCTGTTTAGACGTTCCATCTTTTACAGCTTCTTTGTTTTATTCATCAAGCACTTCTACGAACTTTGTCAGAAACTTACAAGAGGCTTGAAGGAGTACTGGTAATTTTCAAAAACACAAGATTGAAATAATATTTAAACTGCACTGTAAGCGAATTCAACAAAACTGAGGCCTATAGGGTGCAACGATTGTTCTGAGTGACCGTTTACACGCACTGACCTGTCAGTGTAACCTCATGAAATTGATGGTTATTCGCACCAACCTTATAGTCCGACTCCAATTCCGACAAAATGTAACTACGAATGTCTTGTAACCGTGACGTAACTACATGTCTTGTAGTTTATACATTCCGACTTGCTTGCAACGATTTATCATGGCACAAAAATCATTATGTTTTATCGTAGTGAGTAGACCTACCTTAACAATGCGCCAGTAAGGCTGTGAGAAAAAGCACAGATACTAATGTTAATTGTGTAATCAATGTATGACTCCCATGGTGACAAACACATGTAATTCACCACTATAAAGAATTTACCTTCATTCTCTTCTTGGCTAGGCATATTAGTCTTAACAAATATAGTGATTATGTGAATGTAAATTAGTTTCAATAATTTAAAACTTACTAAGCCTGTGCACCTCGCTGTCTTCCATCTTTTGAATGTAATAGTGTCATCAATTTTAATAAGCCCAGTAGTGATTATGATTTTGTTACAGACCTGAACCGATACACCAGGAGAATAAGGATTACAAGGATGTGTTATCAGGGCCGTACACAGAGTATGTGTTACCAAACACCCATGTCTCGTTGGAGCAACCGTTTGAACAAATGCAACATTACTATGAAAAGGCAAGTTAAAATTTAACATCAATGTTTTACTTAAAGTGGTTTAAATACCTGCATTTAAGTAATCCAATTCGTTGCTTGTGTTGCAACCGGTTTCAACTCCGTGGAGTCATCTTCAGGCATCCAAGGATGTAGTGAAGATGACTCCACGGAGTTGAAACTGGTTGCAACACAAGCAACGAATTGGATTACTTAAATGCAGGTATTTAAACCACTTTAAGTATTATACAGTAATCCGGAGGCTAACATCCATCAATATGATCAATGTTTTTAATTTCAATGAAAAATTATTACTAAACTCAACCTCAACATTACCAAATTCTACCTGAGTAACCCTCTGGTATTCTTGAAAGAATGTACAATAGTTATACATGCTAAGTGGCTTGTCAATGGCACAAAATTGGACTTGCCCACTGCCCACAAGATTTTTATGTTTCTCTTTAATTAGATATTTTTTAGTTTAACCCTTAAGCGCCCAGACTTGTTTTTTTTTATGCTGGAGCGTGTGCACGGGTCTGGTGGACTCCCAAATAAAAATGGGTACCTATATAAAAAAAGCTTTTGATATTTAGCTCTTTAAACTTTAGACATATTTTCACCCCACACTACATAAAACACATGATTGGATTTTCTGTTTATATTTTGTTATTTCGTCACCAGCATGGCAACCAATAAGGCCCATGATAATTTTTTTTTATTTATTTTAAATTCATTATTTGTTGTGCTTATTTTTTAGACTATTTTAATTTATAAAGGGATTCTTCACATCTACACGCAAATATATTTCTAACAGTATGCATAGATTTTCCCTGCGATGCACACGAGCTGAGATTAAAGATTTTCAAGAAACATGTTTGCCTATATTTAGGATGTCTTTAGTTCATAAAATTTAGTTTTTTTATATTTTTCCCTCTGATCACGGGTATTTAGCATATTGTAGTCTCGGAACCTGGAATTTATGTAAATCCGACCTGATAAGGTCTAATTCTGCCTGAATCTACCTGTAGGTCCCACAACTGACGAATTACCAAGATCGCCCAGTAGTAGCATACCATTCTGATCATCTTGGGATCACATCATTTTGTCCAAGTTTTCAGATGTCCAAGTTTGTTACAAATTACAAAATATTAGGAAAATCAGTTGTTTGAGTTTTAATTTGTCCGAGGTTTGATAAATAACTAATAATATTTCAATAAATAAACTGTCCGATTTTTTATTTGTCAGAGTTTATTAAATTACTACAGAACCCGTGCGGCTCATTATGAGCCGCATAGTATGAAACATAACGCCAAAAAAAAATGTTATGCTAAAAGTCGAGTAATTCCAGTTACATCTTAGAGTTAGACACACAGCATGTTTAAACACTTGTTAGAAACTAATTTTAAATATCTCTATTTGCGTGGTCAAGGTTCACCGACATTATTTATGCTCTCAGTTTTAACTGATAACTTCTAATGAATGCTAAACGATCTGCTTCAATTCGAGTTAACATGTTGCAACAAAGTTTGTCCAGCATTGAGAATTGAAGAAAACTTTTGCGTTACTGATAACCTGTGTTAATTAATATAACTTGGGTTATTTTATTTCTTTTATTTTTGAGACATCCCCCTAAACCAACGAATTTTCACCGTAGCCTAGAGAATCCTGAAAAGTGGGGTGATATCAACCATTTTATGTGCTAAATTTTTTACACATAATACTCTGGGTTACCAACTGGGCAGCTATAATCTGCTTTGAATAGGCTAAAGCAGCAACACCATTGAACATTGGTTAGGTAACGTATTTAAACGTGTTGTCTGTCAGTCACAGTATATGCCCCTCATCAGAACTTTCTCACGTTGTTCAGTGGAATTTACCATAATACCTGACCCAAAGTTTTGAAAGTATGGATTCATTTATCAAAATAAGTTGGATAACTTGTAGCTATAAGATTTTCGGATAGAAATTATCATTTTCTCTTTTTGAGCAGCGTATATTATTTACCTCTCCTGAATCAAAAAAATAATTTGACTGCAACTACTCGATCGTTGAATACATGAACACTAATTCCTTCACTTATGTTTGGTCTAATAAAACTTTCAATAGCAATTGAGTTTTTGAAAATTCTTATTTTTGACTTGAAATGTCTGGATTGTGTTGGTGAATTTAGTCAAAATACTTTTATAAGTTTGTCCAAGGAACTGGCAACATATCCTAGATGTAAACAATCCAATTGCGTTTTTCTCAACTGAAGTAGAGCAAAATAAAAACATAAGGTCCGCCAAGATTTGGTATAATCTTACTACTTGAACTTATCATAAGCAAGGCATTATTATAGTGTCTACTAAATGTTTTGAAATATCTCGATCTGTCAGTGTCAGAAGTAAACATTTCTTGCATGAATTCATTTTATCTGACATTAGGCAAGTTTACTTTACCACCATGGCAACACTATGTGCTTCGTATATTTTTTCACTTCCAAAGTAAATTGCATAGCAGAACTGGCAAATATTATTCATCTCACCAAGTGAATGTGGTGTATCTGGATGGGTATCTGTTAGACCAGGCCTCTCTTTTTCTACTCTAAATAAATAAATAAATAAATAATTCTTTATTGTCACATCAACGTTTTAAATCATAGCACAGCTAAAAAACAGATGACATTGTCAAGATTATTACTAACTTAACCTAATGTACAACAATATGTCTTATGCATAAAAAATGTTTGTAAACAAGTTGGCAAAAATTTGTTAAACGATGACAGAAAAAAAATTAGTTTCTATGTACAAAATAGAGTCATATTGATTGGTTAGTTTCATTGAGGTAATCATTAACACTGTAATACGTTTTGCTAATCAGAAAATCAGCAAGGCTGCTTTTAAAAGATTTGTTATTAATTACATTTTTTAGAGTTGAGGGTAGTTTTTTAAAAAGTTTTTTCCCCATGTATTTAGGTGTTTTTTCTACAAGCTTCAGTCGGTGTCTCGGATATTGGAAATTATTTTTAAATCTAGTGCTATATATGTGGTCAAAGTTTTCGCTAATGTAGTCATCAAAATTTGAATGCACCGCTAACAATGTTTTGTAAATAATCAAATTTGGAATAGTCATAATATTCAATTCTTTAAAAACTGTTTTGCACGAAGATTTCCATGGTAAAAAAGTCATAATTCTTATAAACTTTTTTTGAATTTTAAAAACTTTTTCAATTTCAGAGGCGAACCCCCAAAATTCAATTCCATACTGTACTATTGAATAAATAAAAGTAAGCATAATAGAGCATGACAGAAGTTTTCAGGTCTATAGAATTTCTTAAGCATAACATTTGAAAACAGGCTGAATTTAATTTTCCAATTACTGACTGAATGCACTTACTCCAGGTCAAGTGTTTATCAATATATAGCCCTAAACATTTTACATTATCATCAGTTGGTTGAGATTGATCAGTGAATGCCATTGATTGAGGTGTACAAAATCTTACAAATTTGGTTTTCTCTTCATTCATTTTCAATCCATTGATCTCAAACCACTTCCCCAATTCGGTTAGGCTTTCTTCAATTTTATGTTTTAATCCCTCATTGTTTTTTGTTTTAACTACTGCAGTAGTATCATCTGCATACAGAATTAGATTATTTGAAACATTTTTTGGAAGATCATTGATATATATAAGAAATAGAAGAGGCCCCAAAATCGAACCTTGAGGCACTCCTATTTTAATTTTTTGCCATTCTGACTTTACTTTTAAATTATCTTTACAAATGACTGTTCTCTGATAGCGATTATTTAAGTAAGATTTCAACCATGACACTGAATTTCCAGAAAAGGGATACGACTCTAGTTTTTTTATGAGGATATCATGATTGACACAGTCAAACGCCTTGGATAAGTCACAAAACACCCCCATTGTGCTATGCGACTCATCCAAGGCCCATGACACCTCCTCAACAAAGTCTGAGAGCGCATAACAAAGTCTCTCCTCATACGCATAAGATATCTTACTAAATCAAACACAGCAATCTTTATTAAGCAGCACAAACATCTTTCCTTCATTTATACAGGATGTTTGAGCTCTTTTTAGGGGAGTTTTAAAAATAATAATAATATAAGTAGCATTGAAAACGTATCTACCGGTTGTTTATCGGGAACACTTGACGGTATTAATTATTTTGACTTATTGTTGGTGTGATGTAAACACATACTATTTGTCTCCTCCTCCCGTTTACAATATTTCTTCTTTGAACTTGAGGCATTTTCTGTTCTTCCAACAAAACTGATTAACTGTTTAACTTGGTCTTAACCTATTTACTCACAAAAAGCTAATGAGTTTCTTATTATAAACAGCTGTTTTTTGTTTTTAAATTTGTTCTATGTATTTCTTATGTGGAAAACCCGACCTTCGAGAGGGTCTCACACCCTTAAGAGTAGACATTTTTAAATTCTAAAACCTTATTGCAAAACTACATATTGAGACAAATCTTTTGGCACCTTAAACGTTGAAATTGGTCCACAAATAATGGATTTGCGTTAACAAAAAACGGCTTCACGTATTATATATATAGATATTGTACTTATTTACTACAATAATTTAATAGATATTATAAAATATCAGTTGTCTGAGTTTTCATTTGTCTGAGGTTTTAAATGATTTCAAAAAATGTTAAAAATTCTGAGTATCGTCAGCATCAAAAGTGACACCGTGCGCCGAGACTAGCGTCACAGGGTCCTGGTCAGAAACCGATGAGAACCTCTTCTGCGAAGAAGTGGGGAATTTTTATTTTTATCAACAGGACAATCCTTATATATAATACGTGAAGGCGATTTCTACGAAACACTACTCCTCCGTTAATAATGGACGTATTTTTACAAACAATGTGTCAAAATTAAGTATTTTTTAAATAGACGCCCCCTTTCACCAATTCATATAATAAAAGTCCTCGGGCTTTGCCCCACAGTCCATCAAAATCCCAATGTATTTCTTATGAAAAAAATATTTTGTTTACTTAAATAGACAAATAATTTGTAATAATTGCATACTACAACAGCTGTTCATAGTCACAAGAGCGTTCGTTTTCAGTTTCGATAACTGTAGTGGAGTGATTGATTACACATTATCTTTGAGTTGACTCTTCGGTTGACTCGTTGAGTCATCGGAAATTATGATTGTTTTTAGTTTTTAAATAACGCCTGTAATACTTTACAATTGCTCGAATTTGAGCAACAGGTGCACTAGTTTTTATTTATTAGTAAACCTCTATTCGATTTTTATCTTATATCTTTTTTATATTATCAGCAAGTTTGGTTGGTTAGGTTTATTTATAATTAAAAATTATAAAATTAAGTTTATAATTTTTCTTAAGTTGACGTGAGCCCACAATCCCCCAGTCCTTTGCAGAAGAGGTTCTCATCGGTTTTTGATCAGGATCCAGAGACGCTAGTCTCTGAGCGGGATGTTACTTTTGATGCTGACGATACTTGGACAGTTGATATTTCAAAACTTTTTAAAATAATTTTAAACCTCGGACTAATGAAAACTCGGACAGTTGATTTAACAAGATTAATGTTATTTACACCAACCTCGGACAAATTAAAAGTTATTTATTAAACCTCGGACAACAGATTTTTCTAATATTTTGTAATTTTTACCAAACTCAGACAACTGAAAACTTGGACAAATGAACCTCACCCATCATCTTGCTAAGCAAGATAAATCTAAGTTCTACATTAAATAAAACCTACAACACACAAACCAAATCAGCTGCAAGCAAAACCAAAACTTTCAGTTTTAAGCGTTTTTGCATACGTATTTGTAATATTTCAATTGGTAAAAGTTTCTTCCTTGCTTTCAACAGGTAATCAAAAGCCACCCAAAAATTAAGAAACACTTAAATAAGCTGCCTGATGAAGCTGTCATTGCAGCAGACTTTGCCAATAGAGGACGTACGGTGTACCAAGTTGACTATTGTAACATCGGTGAGTCTCAGAAAAAATAAACTCTAGACTAGATCAATTTGATTTTTAAGGGAAATACATTGCTCCAGGAAAGCAGCCAGCACAGACAAAGGATTTACCTTCAAATCATCGTCTAGCTTAGTATTGAAATTAGTTCAAAAACAAGAAACACAAGAAGGTGAAAGAATGTTATTCATCCAGTGGTGGTTAGTGTGTTTGCATGAATGAAATTTTAATATTAATCTTAATATATAAAAGGCAAAGCCCTCACTGACTCACTGACTGACTCACTCACTCACTCATCACTAATTTTCCCACTTCCCATTTACCTAGGAGGCTGAAATTCGGTACACCGATTCTTTGGACATTAAATAGGAAAACTAAGTAGTTTTTATTCTGATCGGTCTTTCGGGCTCCGCCCCAGTGGCTCTGGAGTTTCCCATGTTAACCTTATGATTTTTCATATTTAAAAGGAATTAATGAATCTTAACAGCTGTTTCAATTAAAACAAGTTGGTTCTGTTCTATGATGTTCAATAGCATTAAAGTTACAAGGATTACCAAAAGGGTGCAGCACTATTATTTTTTTTTAATTTATGACAACAGTTAATTTGCAACCAAAAGGTGAGTGAGCGTAGCGAGCGAACTTCAACCTGGAGGCGAGTTAGCGTAGCGAACGATCTAACCTTAAGGCAAGTGAGCGCAGCGAACGAGCTCCTACCTAAAGGTGAGTGAGCGTAGCGAACGAACTTCAACCAGGACATGATTGAGCCATGCGAATACTTATGAAGTTGAACGGGGCAAAGCCCGCGGGTACAGCTAGTCTTGAATAAACTGAAGTTCATTATAAGCTTTATGTAGTATAATTAAATTCAACAAACATTTGTTTCTCACCAATAGAAAAAACAAACAGTATGAATGAGTAAAACATTTATGTATTGCTTGATCCGAGATATACCGGTATAACATAAGTGAAAAATCATCCAACGGTATCACTATTTATTTTGTGTGGATTTTTTCTTTCTAGCTCTTCCTCAAATTGATTGCACATTAGAACTACCAACAGAAGGGAGGTTTCACCACCTGAATCCACATTATTGTACATAGATATACTGCATTCTGGCTATCTACCGTCATTGGCTTTTGGATTCTGAAGCCTGAAGTAGATAAACAGTCTCTCTTCTTTAAGTACCAGCTGTTGTCTATATAAAAATAAAATAACATAGTTGAACAGAGTGAATGCGCTACCCTCTAAGATAGTTTTTGTTACTGAGACAGTTGATTCGACATAGCTCACAATATAGTTTGACTTCATTAGAAAGGTGTTATGTATTTGTCAAAATATGCATGAACTGTTGTTGCAGAAGATGGGTTTGAGTCGGCCAAGAGTCGTGCCAGACGTCGTGTCAGTTTGCCGCCAGACTGGGGAGAGATACCATGCACGACACAGCAAGCTTCGTTCCGCCCTCCCACCAAGATAGCTTCGTTTAATCTACATGTTCCTCCAGTCGAGCCTCCCAAGTCAGCACTGCAGCCTAATCGTAAGTATTGATGCAGCCATAAGTGTTCCATTATTAGAAAAGGTTCTAGAATTGCAATCTATGAAAAAAGAAAAGTGGATTCAATTGTTTAAAATATATTAATCAACAAAAACACAGCTTTAAGAGTACCTAGTTTGAGAAACTTAAAAAATAAATTGTTCTAAACTTCAACAGTTTTCATTAAAAAAAGAGGAATTTGAAATTTTATTCAACCACAACATTATCTAACATATGTCATACATTGCTCATCTATATAAAGCCCAAAGTACCCATGAACTTTTGAGAAGACTACAAGTCACATCCCCATAAACCATATACTTCAAATGTTCTTTGTCATGACGAGAAACCTTGAGCAAAACTATCCATTATTTCTTAAATTGCCCTTTAAGGTCATAATTGCTTTCCAAAGGGAACTTTCCATATACCTATTGTTAAACATACCTCACCTGTACTTATTTGTACGTTATTCTTTCAATTTTTTTTTTTTATGAGGTGTGATTTTTTGTTTGTATTACTGTATTCTGTTTTGTTTATTTCAGCTTCTTAACCAATCAGTAGTTTTATTAATACTTATGAAGCCAAACAGGGTGAAGCCCGAGGGTTTTAGCTAGTACTTTGTAATTTTTATTGTTTACATTTATCACAAATTGCAGAAAAGAGACAATGAGTATTAAAAGACTAAAGAGTCAGCGAATGGACAGATCAACTCAAAATTATTTTCATTTTATTGCTTTTAGCGAATTTCCCATATAAGGAATAAGCTATTACTGCAGGTCTCATGGTAAGACCTAGACCCGGGACCGATTTTAACGAGTTTGCGAACCAGCATGATCGGACCATGGGAACTGGGGTTTAATGGGTTTAACTGGGGTAAAATTGGTTTTTCCTATTTTTGATCCAAAAAACATAAAATTTAGCAATTTCTTTCCAAACCTTTTTGTAGAGCTAGTCTGCAGGTTTGCTGTGGCGAGGGTATTTTTATGTAAGACGTTCATAAAGATGTAAGGTTTCATCCTTACATCTTAAAAAAGAGATTTGCATAGCCTTTGACCAAAGTAGGACAACTTTTGTTTTTACTGAGATGGTTTAGTATGTTGAAATATCAGCCTTAATTCTCGTCAATGATAACGACCATTTTACTAATTGAAAATGGAACCTTTTTTAACTTCAAATAACTGTAGCAGCTAGGTCGCCAAGAGTTATTTGAAACAGTTTAGTTGTCTCTGTAACAAGTTTAAAATTACTTTGGGTGAATTCTTAATTTTTCCTGTGAGGTTGGTAACTTCTCATTGTATATTTTTTTTAATGCTTTCAAGCATAAATTTTGTGTGTTACAGCGAAAGAGAGGGATATCTTGAAGGTGACCACAGGTTTGTCAGAGTATGAGGCCAAGATTGGAGTCCTCGGTGATCTGATCCAGAAGGATCGTCTGCATGGGGAACATCAGGAAAATCTTGAGTGTCTCAAGTACCAGCAGATGCTGCAAGACTTCAGAGTCGATGTCACATCAAAGTAGAGACTCTGTGACAATCATTTCATTTCAACATTGATAATTTTTTGATGAAAATAAATTTTTTTTATCCTGCTGTTTGTTTGGACCTAATAGAAAACCAACCTACAGCTACTCTGTATTTAATTATGTTCATAAAAATTAGAGTCTATTTTCTAAATAAATGGTCTGGAAAAATATTGTTGTACTACGACATGTCAAACCTTAAAGCCCTATTCAGGAACATAAAATGGGGATGGTTAACGTTGGATTTAATATTATAAATCAAGAACATATCAAGTGTCCTATGAATTTTGTAATGCTTATAAAAATATCTTTCCTAAGTAATTTTTTACTTTTTTAAAACGTTTTTATTAGCTCGCTTTCTTGTACGGTACAAATTTTGCAATCAATTTTAGACTTGAAACTTGAAACATAGCTCACAAATGGATGACAATGCAATTTTATATCATTTAATTTTCATATTTCCCTTGGGCTACACCCCATAGGCTTCCAAATTTTCCATGTTTACATTTTGAAAGAATGTAAATATATCAATTAATTTAAGTCAGCTGTAAATACTTAAATTTGACAGTTAGAAGAGCAGATGTTAAGAGGTACAGGTTTTGCTCCCGAGGATATTCTAAAAATATAAAACAAGCATTTCAAAATAAAGATAAAACATCTGATTGCAGATAATAAGGTTTTGGTTACGTATTAACAGGCCATATAAAATAGATTTAACATATTTACACATTAAAGACTAAAAAAGTAGAAAATAATTGATAAATATGTTGAGAGAATAAATACTTGTAAGATTTAAAACGAAAAACGTGGGATGCATGCAATAGATCATAATAGTTCAATAGGTGAAGTTAATTGGAAATTAGCATGCGCCCCACGTTTTTAGTTTTAAATCTTACAAGTATTTATTCTCTCAAATTATTTTATACTTTTTAGTGTATTTGAAAACGTGGCATTTTTAAAAAGTATTTTTATTTATAAATTATTTATCTTCAAATTGTCCCAGAGTCAACTATGTTTCTTGTGATCACTATTTATTAATGTTTGCATCCAATCCTAAAAGACTAATGTTACTCTCCACATAAATGTTGAAAACATAAAATGTTGAGTTTAAATTTCCCACACTTTTCAAAACTGTGTTTTCTATTGGCTGGCTTATTTGTAGAGGGGAGTGGGAATTGGAGTCAAACCAATTATAAATTCTACTACTTCAATTCAGTTAGGGGCTTTGGTCAAATGTGTTTGGTTATGTAATCTTTAGATAAATTACTGGTTTAACTTAACATAACAGAGTTATTAGACACTTGAATGTTCTTCAAGTCAATAAGATCTCTTAAACTGGCTGTTTTGTGTTTACATAAATCTGAAGAAATAAGTTGATTGGATTATTTGTATAGCAAGATCATAGAGGTTAGTAAACTGTTGTTTTGTGAATATAAAAATTGTTATAAATTCATAAAATACATCATTTAGATTTGTATGCAAAATTTTCAATAGAACTTGATCACCAATATCAATTTATAATATTAATCGGGGGAACTTAAACAAATTAATTTGTGTGTAACAAAAACAAGTTAGTCTCTAAATAACTGATCATGTGAGTTCACTTTGATTAACATTTCAAATATCATTCTGTTAATTGTTCATCATCACTACACTATAGACTTCATATTTTTTTAAATATTTTTAGGATATGTACTAACCTTAAAATTGGTAAAATGTGGAAAGCTCTCGAAAGTAGAGCTAACGATAATTGTGTTATTAATTGTATGTTAACAGTTTTATTTCTAACAAAATGCTACAACTGCATCCCTCTTAAGTGAAGAGTTCACAATTATTAGTTAGTTGTTTTAAAGTAACCAATTGAAATTATGCCATAAATCTAGCAAGCAAAAATATATTTTCCTACAGTTATCTGACAAAAGTGGCCTTCTTTGCACTGATTATAGCACAGAAAGTTGCTATAATTGCTACATTTACTTGCTTTTTCCGCACTCTTTTTTCTTTTGCCGAACTTATTTTTTTTTTTTGCTGCACTCCAGCATTCCAACCAAACAACTCAAAACAGCGTGGTTTTATTAGGCACGTAATATGTGTACGCTTGAAAATAAGTTGGCAACACTTAAGATATTACGCAGCTGGTGCAGCGTTTCCCATTTCGTTCAATGGTTGGGGTTTGATTTATTTAACCTAACCTAAAAACTTAAATAATTAGTTTGAAAGACTAATTATTTAAGTTACCTATATGATTTATATAGTAACTGTAGGAAAAATATAATGTGTAACACGAGTGCGAACTGCCTTTGCTGCACTCGAGAAACCTTCCACATTCGCCTACGGCTTGTGCGTAACCATTTCTCTCATGTGCAGCAAAGTGCCACTTCGCCCACTAGTTAGACAAATAACTAGTAGGCCTACCATACGTCAATAGTTTTAAAAAATTATATCAATAGGCTATGTTTATTTGATTATTTATTTGAAGTGAATGTTATGTTAATTGAATGTTATTCCTTGGTTCTAAAGTCAAAAAATTGCTAACCGGTTTAGTTTAAATCCAATATGAGTCCTTTTTAAGTTTTTTAACACACAGTTTATAACTTTGTAATTTGTTAAAGAGGCGTAACAAATTAAAATTCCTATCTTAAATCTACTAATTTATAAAACACTACTAAATTTATTAAAACTACTGAAACTACTAATAATTAATTTATGTATCTGTTAGAAGAATGAAGCAATCCTTTGAGCCGCCAAGGGTAGTAGTGATTGCAACTACTTTGGCTGCAATTATGATCACTGGATTTATTTATTTGAAAAAAAGTAAAAGCCGTAGAACCCAACGAGAGGTCTTTGAAGAATTGAAAATACCTACAAAATGGACAAAAGTGGGCGAAGTTGGAGAACTCATTTTGTACCCGCTGAAAGGAGCCAGGCGCAAATGTTTAGAAGAAGCTGAATTCACTAAGATAGGCTTGAGGGAGATTGGCACTGTGAATGAAAATAAACTTGCACTTCAAGATAGGTAATTCAATTTGTTAGTTAGTTTTAGATATACCTAAGTTTCAATTAATTTATGATCATATGCAAGTAATGTAGTCTACTTAATTCAAGCAAAAGGCTATACATTATACATCTACGTGGTGGATGCATGGTATTGGTAAATTTTGGGTTTCCTTTTTGGAAATTTCCAAAACAGAGATAGTTTTAACCAATTTCATATTATCCTTTTAAAGAAGATATTATTTAATTTATATATTAAAGATTTCTGGGCATCATATCTTTACAGAGTTAGTCAAATTTGTATTCTTATAAGGTATGCTTAACTTGTGAAAAAGTGTGTTTCTTGTGGCAAATCATTAGTAACTGAGCCTTGTGTTTTATTTTTATACATTCTAGGAATTATAATAATCTTTTGATTACCAAACGCTCAAGATAAAATCGTAAAAACTAGAAATGTTCTAACTTTTCAGGTTACCTATGACAGTAGTTAGTAATATTCCCAAATACTTGAACCATATAAAAACTACAATGAGCCCTGCAACCTTTGATAGTAAATTTAATGTGCAATGTCGTCTGAAATGTCAACATCATTCAAATACACAGATTTTTATTTATTTTCCAGAGTTTTTGTAGTTTACAATGACAAAAATGAGTTTGTCAGTCTTAAGAAAAATTCAAAAATGTTGAAGGTTGAAGTTTCAGCAGCAAGTGAGTCAACAGTTAGATTTACATTTCCCGAAGAAGAAGACCTTATCATAGAAATTCCAGGAAATAATGACAACACTAGTGACCTTCAGTAAGTATTTTTAAGGAAATAATAAAGGATTTTTGCTGCTTCTAGAATTCACATTTACGAAGTCCACTACAGCAAATTGTTGACATAGTGGGACATTATACCTAAAAACAAACCATAAATGGGAAGCATTTTTACTACACTGGTAATATACTAATGAGTAGATAATTAATACTGTACTACAGTTTGGTGTTTTATAACTATACTACTGCAGCATCTTTATCTTCAATGCATATTCTACTTTGTTTGTTTAAAGTATCAAGTTTTGTTTTTATCTTGAGCTCTGTGTGACCTTTATTCTTTCCAAGGGTCAATGGATAGTAGAGTGGTAGGAGGCCTGATTCTTAGTTTGAAAGACAATCTAAAAATTAAATTTGTTTATGGACATAGTTTTTGTTTCATAGTTAGATATTGAGTCAGAATTATTAATTTGAACTTTAAAGATATATACTATATTTACTAATACTGTACATATAATAGTAATAATACATATGATACATATAATACTATATACTAGTATATATTATACTATACCATAGTAGGTATAGTATAATCAATACTACTTGAGTATATAGCACGAATACTAGAAAAGACCCGGTCTCATAAACATAAACTAATGACGTTTTTGTCCCAAAAATAAACAAAACCATATGTTAATTAATGCTTAAGATTTTGCGAATGTGGCAAAATCTCTCCCACAATAACAAAACGAAAATCATTATCCTCCATGCTTGGGGCCTAATCTTCATATCATCCTCCACGGTCTCGGAAACATGATCATCGTCTTCCGTGATCACGGAAACGTTATTGTTGTCGATCAGGGTGAAAGCAAGGCCACACTAAAAAACAGGCCGTAATGCTCGTCAAGCATGACGTCACGATAGAAGACGACAATGACGTAATGTTTGCCATTTGTGATCAGCTGCTTGTTTTAATCGTTCCTTGGAAAATAAATAAGTAAATACCTACGTCATTGCCGTCTTCTATCGTCACGTCATGCTTGGCGAGCATTACGGCTTGTTTTTTCTAGTGTGGCCTTGGTAAAAGCGTGATCTTCGGAGTAGCATAACGTTTTACGATAGCCAAAACATTGCGAGCTCAACTCAAGCTCGATTTCCTGACTTAGTGCTCGATCGACCTCAAACTTATAGGGTTGCTTTGGTTTTTGGTTTGGCTCGAAAATCAAACTGCACGCACGCCTCTACGTTATGTACATTTAATATAATTTTTTAAATTGTTTTACTACTTTTGCCGTGACACCTGGGGCGCCCTCAATGCCGCCGTTTCTGACCCGCCCCCTCTGCTTGCGGTGGTGCCTTTACCTTTAATTCACATGACGGTCCTATAAATTCGGCACTTGATGAGACAAGGGATGTTTTTAAATAGTGTGATATTAGAAATTCCATTCCCAAGTTAAAATTACACCTGTTTACCAATCAAAATCGTCGTAGTTGATGTGAGCCACCGACAGATTTTGCTGATGTAAATTACTGATTTCAGTTGAATAAAAAAATGTGTTTACCAATAAGTCAAACTGATATGAAACGACTTATTATGAGCTATAGCAGCTGTTATGACCCATAAACTATCCCAGCAACAAAAAATAAGGCAGAAAATGCCATTATTTGCGACAATAACACATTCTGTGACTGACTCACACAACTAAGCTGTCTGGTCGAAATAGATGGGATGTCTACTCCAGCAACCAATAATCAATAGTGATATTCAATGTGTAAGAATAGTTATGTATTTTAAAAATACGGTTCCTAGTTGGAACTGTCCTATATTTACTATGATAAAGCTCTGTTTCAAATTTGTAAATTGTTCCAGCTTTTACTATGGTGAGAAAGTGAAGGCTATAGATTGTGGTCCTAAAGCAGCCGTTTGGTTTTCTCATGTGCTAGAGGGTAAAACTGACGGCTTGCGACTCGGATGTTTTGTTGAGTCTCTTCTACCGCCCCGCTCCCTTCAAGGTGCCTTTGAGAAACAGTTAGCTGTATATCCAAAGATGCATGGTGAATATTTGGTAAGTAAAAATTACACTCTTCTATCAACATAAAAGGGGTTTTAATATTTTTTGTTACATTTTTCAGATTGAATTTCATAGTTTATTTGAGTCTCAAAAACTCCAGTAGGTACCGGTACCATAAATACAAATCAATACACTTTTAGGTTGTTGTGCACAGTATAGTTTTGGCGTTTCGTTTGAGACAGAAAACTAATATTGTATAAATATGGCTTTTGTTCACTTATAAAAGGTCATTGTAACATAATGTCAGAAGTTTCTATAATATCAGTATGGTATTTACTGCAAAACTCATTCGGGTTTAGTTTTAAACACAATGGTAAACTGCTTTAAAACACATCAAACTTGCATTGCCTTTTGAAATTAAATTTACTTGTTTTTAGCGAATTTCCCTATAGGGAAGTAGCTATTACCGTAGGTCTCATGGTAAGACTTAGGCCCGGGACCGATTTACTTTTTCATTTTAATGTCCCCAGAGGCCAAAAACACCATTCGTCCAAATTTTTATATATGTATATATATATATATAGATTTATATATATATATAGATTTATATATATATATATATGTGTCCGTGAACACGATAACTTGAGTAATTTTTATCTGATTTTGATGAAATTTGGTTTGAAGGTGTATGGCGGGATAAACTTGAATGAGTTCGCGATCCAGCATGATCGGACCATGGGAACAGGGTTTTATGGGGGGTTTTATGGGGTAAAAATTGATTTTTCTCACTTCTTACCCTCAAAACACAAAATTTCCCAATTTTTCTCTAAACCTTCTTAAAGAGCTTAAAAAAACAAACAATTCAGTATATCAAAGTGTTTTTGTACGGTTATTGGTTACGGAGAAAACTGAAAAAATGGCAAATTTAAAATTCCCATGTTATTCTTATGGAGAATATTGTAAAATGTTGTAGTTTGCTTGTTTATGGACAGCCATATTTTGATCAAACTTGGCAAATTTATTTATTTTATAGTAAGCTACCAATATTTTACTAAAAACACACTACTTTATTAGTTTCCTTGTAGCAGCAAACCTAGGTACTCGTTAAACCTAATGTTATTTAAATAGGCCTAGATCAATTGAAAATCAATTCGCCCAAATGGAAATTCGCTTAGACGGCAGGTTTGCTGCGGCGGGGGTATATACTGTAGATGGTAAGTCCAGTATAGTGACAAACGTAGGAGACTACGAGGACGGTAAAGGCTCTTGGTCACTTTGTAGTGGGAAAATCAATCACTCCAGCTGATTACGGAGCAGCCTCAAAGGCACTTTGATTTATGAATACAGAAATACTTTCGTCGCAGAAAGTATCGTTATAAACAATTTTAATAAATTAGAATATTTATACATGGACTCAATTTCAGATGATGATGAGAATCATCAGGTCTATTGTCCTATATTGTATCGCACGTGAAATCGTGTACCAATTTAATCTGAAAGATGCGAAATGAAGAAGTAAATAGTAGGTATTTGTGTGGCACTTTGCTGCACGGCTTCGCACGATTGAAATGTTTACGCTCGAGCCATAGGCCAGTGTGGAAAGTTTCTTGAGTGCAGCAAAGTCAGTTTGCACTCGTGTTACGCATTATATTTTTCATACAGTTATTATAAATCATAGAAATGATTAGTCTTTCAAACACTGTACAGCAATTTTTTAGGTTAGGTTAAATCCAAACATTGAACGAAGTGGGAAACGCTGTACCAGCTGATCGTAGTCGTAGTATCAAGTTTTGCCAGCTTATTTCCAAGCGTACACGGATTACGTACATAATAAAAGCACGATGTTTTGTGTTGTTTGGTTAGAATACTGTTGTGCGACAAAGTAAAAACGTTTACGACAAAGTAAGTAAATGCAGCAATTAGCAGATTTCTGTACAATAATCAGTGCAAGGAAGCCCACTTTGTTGGGCGACTGTAGGAAATAAGTTACGTATTGACAATTTATAAATTGAAAAATATACTAAAGGAATTAATTTAAATTACTGTATACAGGTTTTAATTAATTCAGATTTAATTGGAGTTAATAAAAAATAATAGCCAGGTAAAAAAAATTAATATGCTTTAACAAAAAAAAAGAAAAAATACTTTAAAAAATAAACGTTACGTACAACTAGACAATCCTCAATTACTATGTTTAGTAGTTTAACCTCGGCCATAGCAAATGTTATAGAACTTCAATTAAAACACCAAGTGGAACGTTTTGACATTTAATAAACTGCACTTTAATTTTGTTTTAAATATTGTTGGTTAAACACACCAAGCACCGTAGGCTGTATTAACACATAAACAGTTCCGAGTGATATTAGAGCAGTAAGTCGGAGTGTAAGGGAAGTAATATCAAGCCACAAGGTGGGTATCTCTACCTTTGGTTTCATAATATCAAACTACCTTTACAAAATAAATTCCACAAAGTGAATGGAAATTATTTGTTTTTTAATAAACCACTCATACGATATATTTTTTAACTTTGAAACATTTAGAACATTTAAAAAATAATTTTAACAGCTTGTTATTGGTTCAGCTATAATCTTTGTTATTTTGACAACGCGTAAAGATTTACAGCGTAAAATGGGTTTACTGTATTTCTGAAGAGTTTCTCCGAAATCTTAATAGAAACTCTTTCGATTTTCTTATTATACCGCTTCAGTATGCCCGACTAGGTCCTATTAAATGTGTTATTGGATTATATATTAAATCTTTTACCAATAGATTTAATAGGTATAGATTTGGATCAAAAATTAACTTACTCCTTTGGTTGATTTCATAAATTTCCGTCATAAATGAAGACAGTACTTCAAAATATTCACACGTATAATTGAATAATGAATAATGTCCCAACCCGAACATAGAGGGTTCAAACGCTAAGCTTAGTCGCCATATTGGAAAATGGGGGTCATTTTTTTAAAGTGAAATTTAAGGTTATAACGTATTTTATGACTGTTTTAGGATGTGGATTTAATTTTTACGACTTATACATTAGTTGCATTATCCCTCCAAACCTAATTGGATGGTAGTAGGATGCAGAATGTACAAGCATTTTCTCAGGTGGAACCCGCTGTAACCCCCAAAAATGTAGCTTTAGAGGAAAAATTCGAATTAGTGCGGTGCGGGGTTGGTCACTTACTTTAATACTTTACTTTGGAACATAATATAATGGTTATTCCAAGTGTGAATGGAGAAGAGTATAGAATGAATCTTGTAGTCTTGTTACTGACTCAAGCTGACATGTTCCATGGACAGGACTTTAAAATAATAGTCGATACAGCCAATGCCAACTAAGGAACCTACAGTCCTATAGTGGAATCCGAAACACATGTTTGCCTTGTAATTTATGAATTCGTCTAAATATCAGGATAGTAACGCAGATTGTACTCACTAGTGCGGACGTTATTCCACACCAGGGAGTATCGCGTCCACAAACCACGCCTATTAATAACAATTGGTGACCTCCAAGTAGCTGGATTACAGGATGATGCCACGGTCTCAGTCATACTAGTAATAGGAGTAAACTGAATAATACAGTGAGTATTGGCTATGTCACCTAAATAATCTGGTAATTAATGTTGACTTAAGTGAAAGTAAATTACTAACACCTAAGGTTTTACTGTTACAATAATTATCTTTTATTTTACTGAAGTACACACACACAACATTTTTACTCAAACATAACTTATTCAACAATTCTCATTACAATAAAAACAATCCTAACTATTTACACATGATCAGCTGTTACCAACATAAATTAAATTAAATACAGAACAAGTAACAGCAAACATATTATATAAAAATAAAATTACATTCAACACCTTCCCTTAATTTTAATTTTATATAAGAAACAAAAATAAATATCTCGATTATCGTCTTCTGTTCAAGATTTTGGATAGTTGATCAAAGCTTTGCTAAATTGATGAAACTTAACATTGTTCAAGGGTTTTGTAAACATATCCGCAACATTCTCGGATGTAGAAACAAAAGAAATGTTTATTTTACCTTGCCTTACATTTTCAGTCAAAAAATGGTAGCAAACATCAATGTGTTTGCTTCGCTTATTAAAAATTCCATTTTTACAAAGCTTAATAGCACTTTGATTGTCCATGTTTAGGTTTGTTTCAACATTAGTTCCACTCAACTCTTGCAAGAAAATTTTTAAATATAACACTTCTTTGACACATTCTGCCGCTGCAATGTATTCTGCTTCAGTGCTGGACAAAGCTACAATCAGTTGTCTTCTTGTACACCAGCTTATTGGGTCTTCTCCATACATAATGACAAATCCAGTAGTACTTCTTCTTGTATGCTTGCAATTTGCATAGTCTGCGTCACAATATACATTTAGGCAATTTTCTCGTGATGCTGAAAATAATATTCCTGCGTCTTGAGTACCTTTAATATATCTTAAGGTTCGTTTGACATTTACAACATCTTCATTGCTTGGATTCTCAACACATCTACTTTCTAATCCCACAGCAAGTGTAAGATCAGGTCTGGTTTTATTGGATAAGTACAGCAAACTTCCTACAACTTCTCTGTAAGGATAATCTTTTGTCAGGCAGCTTACTTCTTCATCAGGTTTGCTCGTTTTCACTGGACAAATGGGAGTGTCTACAGGTTTACAATCTATCATTCCATATTTTTCGAGAATACTGTTTGAATAGTTCTTTTGTGTTAACAATATCCCTTCCCTTGAATATAAAATTTCCATTCCAAGAAAGTTTGATGGGTTTTCGTCTGTTTTTATTTTAAAATCTCTAGACAGCTCGTTCAAAAGTTTCTTCATCTCTCTTTCATCTGAACCAGCAAGAATTCCATCATCAACAAATATAGCAAGATGAATACTGCCATTTGTAAAAACACAACGGTCAGACTGAGTTTGTTTTAAGCCATATTTTAGTAAGCAGTTTCTAAACAACTGGTTCCATTTAAATGGAGCTTGTTTAAGTCCATATAAAGTCTTTCTTAATTTTAAAACTTTATCTTTATGATCAAACCCTTCA